ACACCAGTAACGCATAATCTTTGGTTTCTTTAACACTCTAAAAGCTTCTCTAATGCAACCCCTAGCATTGCAGCCACAACTTAGAAAACTCCATTGGAAAACGTTCGAATAAATTGTTACACTTGCCTGTCAACAGTGTGACGGTGTCTTGTTCGTTTTGATGTCACTGAGAGTTATATGTTACTTCCATAAAATATTCATTTTAAACAAGCCAATCAGTAGCACAAAGTTTGGAATAAGCCTTTTCGACATTTGACACTGATGATCATCATCAGTATCAAACCAGTATTTTTTGCCTGGAATCAATAAGATCTATCATTTTTGAATGTTTACCCAAAATTCAGTCTTATTATGCATTTCAAGTTGTGGGTAGGTGTTAAAATAAATTTGAATAAATAGGCGTATAGATATAAAAGTTAAAGGTTTGAGATGTTACAAAAAAAAAATAGTCAGTAGATGAAAAATTACAGATTGAAAAGGACTTCTCGCTAAAAAGTTTTTGGCCATTGCTTGAAGAACTCCCTACTCAAAAATCGTGCATTTTCAGGAGCTCTTTATTTTACATTGTTTATTTGACACCAGCTTTAGTATATATATGATTTAATAAATGTTCAGATTATAAAGCGTAGCTGCTTTAAATAAAACTCACTCTCATTCGTTAAATCTGGCGCATGATATGGAAAGCGATAACTTGATAAGAACTGAACTGATTTATTTCTAGGTCCTCTAAGAATAGTTCATCAATAAAATCTGCATAGATACGTATTTGGAAGCAGAAAAATGTTCTTTGGGAAATAAAGCAATGTCATATCCTCTCCCTCTTTCTGACAAGAACGGTTCACAAAATACACCCGGATATAGACAAAAATAGATTGTGATAACCACCAGTGCTACCCACTGAGACCATGGACGTAAGCCATGTGGCTGAAAAGACATTCAAGGGAGTGCCCCAAGAGATGCGCCTTAATCTATCAATCATCCCATGGTTTCTCTATTTCCTAAGCATTTGACTCAACTTATAATTCAATTGACGCTTATTTTCGAGAATTCGAATAAGTTTCATTTACTCTTAACAAAAGCTTAAAGCGTACACGAGAAACGCTACCTTGATCAATCCAACAAAACCGTGACTTTTCACTTTCTGCATACTACAGAGCCTTTTTGTGAACACCGAATCTGGACCCTGTCGAGTTAAAGAAGGTAAATCGGTTATATTAGGCGTTGACTATAACATTTCCAAACCCTTTTACTACTTAAGAATTGGTTCATGTACAGCGTACATTTACTGTCAAGTCATTGATGCACGCGGGAAGCATAGAGAGCTCAAAATGCACGACACATACGCTGTTTGGAGAACAATTTGGCTTTTGAACGCCCCTCTGGGCTTCTTGAGCGGCAGTGAAACCATGACTCTCTCGGCACGGAGCAAGGAAACTGTAGAAATAATTCTGAGATTTTCGGTAAACTTGGGAAACGTGTTTGAATTGTTCTGTTTTCGTTGCTATTGCTTTCTGACGACTAATTGATGTGCAGCTAAAAGTTCCATGCATAGGAAGCCACTTGGAATTTGACAACTAGTTTCTTCCATCGTTGATGTGTTGTAAGGAGGACAAACGAAAACCACACAGCAACAGAGGCTCGTTGCTGAACTCACTGAACTTGAATTTCGCAGATAATTATAGCTCCAGACCACCTAACTGCGTGTTTATATCAACAATTTTTTTTTCTTATTTTGTTTCATTTTGTGATTTCCATTTTCTGTTTTACTAACTTTTAATGCATGCAGGTGTTGGGAAAACATATCAAGAGGTTTTGTACTACTACAAAAATGAATTGACGAACTTCGAAGACCTGAAAAGAAAATAAAAACAATGATAATATTTAACTTCTAGTTGGTCTTTGCTCGAAACAACGTCCTATATAATTTGAAACATTTATCGAATGGAATCTGTACCTGTATTTAATCAGAAAATAGCTTTAATAAGTTATTATAAGCGGTCATATGTTAGAGGGCAGCTGCTTCTGATAAAATCTTCCTATTGGTTAGTCTAAGTTTACCTGAGGAGGTAACCTCAAAGTTAGACTTAACTGTCGATTCACACTTGGGAATTTTATGTTTAAGGTTGAGGCTATGCGGTAATAATCTGTTCTTGAGGCCAAATTCAGTCCTTCTGAAAATACTTTTTCTGAAGTAGAGATCATGCTAAAAATTTGCCCCAGCAAGTGTTACTTTCACTGACACAATTTCTTTCATTATTATTTCAGTGTCCACTCATACAGCTGGATAATGACAAGACACCAAATGCATTCATCTTTTCTTTACACAATAGCGAGAAACGTGGAGCTTTCAAAAGCATGGTAAAAAACCCCGAGAGGGCCATCTATAATCGGAAATAATTGTATAACACCGCAGTTTATGTGATAAAATGCAATTTTTACTAACAATGCGATGTCACGGACGAAAGCAGAAAGACTGAATTACATATTTTTCGAATTTGTTATGTAACTGGCATTGCATGCCAGAAATTGTGGTACCTGCACTGAAAAATAACTTATGTGTAACAACATGAAGATTTTTCGCACTCATCATGTAAACTTTGATCGATTTATGTGATCATGTTGATCGATTTGTTGCAAGCTATCTTCGCAGCAATAGATTATCCGAGAGAAATGGTCCCATTGTTTTCTCTTGACTACAATAATCATTAAGAGGTCTAACATCTGATTTATCTTGCTAGGCCGGATTTGAAAAATCAGTTATTTATAGAAACAAATGATAAGCAAAGTTTGTTAGTGGTCTTTTTGAACCAAGTCATACTATTTCCTCTAACCCATGATTATCGACGATAATTAAATTATTTATATAGGTATTAGTTTATGAATAACTTTTTCGCAGGCAAGGTTATTTTGGCAAGAAAGTGCCAAATATTCGATCCAGTTGTTAGGCTGCTTTCGCGACTTCAACTTTTTTCACGACTTCAACTTTCCCGCACGACTTTAACTTTCCGAAACGACTTTAATTTCCCGGAACGACTTTCTCTGGTCTGTTATTCAACATTACCTACAAATGTTTACCTTAAGATTGAATGTAATCTTGTCCAAATTTTATGGACAATAGGCTTTGGTGGAACGTAAACAGTCAAATTGTTTTTGTGTTAACACACAAGGCCATAAGTAAAGCAGTTTTGTGACGGTTAAAAAAGAAACGAAGCCAAAGCGATTATTCTGGTCAGTAGGAATAGGTTTAAACAAGAAAATGAGCCAATCATGCAGATGTGGACGAGCAAGTTGGCCATGTCTGAATTTACTTCTTATCAGTACATTGGCGATACGGGGAACCAGTCTAACCCAAGTCAACGCAAATATTTTATCCTCAATTCAAAATTAATTTATTTTTTAGCAATTGTGTGCAAGACAAGCACACTAGGAATAATTTGATGGAGAAAGCTTATAAAATTTAACTTTGCTCAGTTGGTAATTTACTCATAGTTTTTACCAAACAGTGTTACAGTAACTTCGGCTGTGAATATATGAAAGTACTTCGCAATCGAACGGCGGTGACCTACCGCTTTGATTCTTGTTTTGAGTCTTCCAGTGGAAAAAGTTAAAGGTCGAGCCATGAAAAAGTCGCGCCGAGAAATTAATTTCGTGCCGGAAAATAAAAGTCGAGCCAGAAAATTAAAGTCATGCCGGAATGTTGAAGTCGTGCCGGAGAGTTGAAGTCGTGCCGGAGAGTTGAAGTCGTGAAAAAAAGTTGAGGTCGTGAAAAAAAGTTGAAGTCGTGAAAAAAAGATGAGGTCGTGCAAAAAAAAAGATGTTGAGAAATACGAGATGGCACTACGGTGGCCAACAACTGTCACGGCAAAAGAAAAAACCTCGCGGCAAAAGAAAAAGACTCACGGCAAAAGGAAGAACCTTACGACAAAAAGGAAAAGACTCACGGCAAAAGAAAAAAAGCAAAAAAAAAATATCACAGCAAAAAGAAAAAAAAACAGCAAAAGAAAAAACGGCTCACGGCAAAAAAAAAAAGACTCATGGCAAAAAAAAAATCTCTAGCCCGGGAGGTTATTTTTCTCTTTTATGCCTTTGACGTGGACATTGATAAGTTCTTTGGCCGTCACGAGTTTTCAGATGGATAACCGGATAATGACATGCGCACTAATTACTTAACAAGTTTTATCATTGCACAGTGTTTACAGAAGTTATACTTGCTGATCACTGGACAAAGTTAATAGCCTTGTCTTGATCCTAGATAATGGCATCTGTTTCAAATTACTATATTTAGGCTGTATATGCCTTCAAGAAGGCATAATTGAGCAGTGCATGTCACATTATACTTTAGGCTGAGTTGCTGGTTGTGCCTGTGTCTTATGATCATATTGGGAGAGACATAATCATTGTAGCAGTTATGTTTCTTTTAGTTTTTGCGGTTTTACTTCTGTGCTGGGTTTTGCGCTTTTCTTGGCAAAGTCTTACTCGTCGGTAGTTGCGGCGACGTCGCTTCGGAACTGACGTCCATAATTTACCATTTCCAATTCAAGAACAACCACAAGAAGTATGGATGTCGAATGGTAAGCCAAGAGTCCAACGTTTACTTGGTAAAGACAACCTATATCATAAACCCAGTGATAAAATCATGTGACGGTAATAACGGATTTATACTGATTTTAAATATAGTGCAAAATAATCAGTTAGATTGTTTAAAAAAACAAATGAGCACTTGTCACCTCTTCTTCATTACATATCAGCTATTTATTTGTACATTTTGACTCTGACGTATACACGACCTTTTGACTAATGAGTACATAGAGTAATGGCGGACGAAGAGGAGCTTTAGTGGTTCAAAATCAGCACAGACACTGTTAATAATACGCTCAAAATGCATACAAAATATGCACACATCGTTCGCGGTAGACTCACACTAAAAGATGTCGAGCGTTTTCGGAACAGGTCGGTCCGCGAACCTTATGAGAGCTAGATCTCTTTATGAGCGAACATTTATGAATGAACCTCTCATCGAGAAATATGAAATATCAGCTGAACTATCTGATGTTGCTCGAGAGAAGCATAGAAGCAAATCTCATCGTGTATCTAGACGTGATCGTGAACCAAGCAGAATACCAATACGAAGTTTGAAAAGGTTAAGGAACAAGAGCAGAAAGGTTAGAAAATTTGTCTACGCACGTATTCTGTCGTGTATCCCCATGTCATCTACATTGTACTGTTATCAGGTTATGTTAATACTAAAAACTATTGAATAAAAGGACGTTTAAGTTTAAATGTCGTGAAAGAATTCGTCAAAGAATAAGAAAGGTAAAATGTCGTGCCAGTCGATGTTTGACATTGTTTTCTTGTAACAAACTGATGTGTTCTTGCAAGAGTGAGGCTTATATAGCAAATTATTGCAACTCCAAATTAAGCAGAGACGTAGTAAAAAATCCTGGTCCTCCAATATATTTTGACCCTAACAAAACAATAGCAGTTCCATAAAGTCAAGGTAAGGAGTTAGTTTTTGGGCAGATTGCAGGACAAAAAACATAGGGTTCAAAATATTTTATTCTCTAGAGATTTGTATGGTTGAGGGCAGCCTCAAGGCACATGTGTTCTTCTCGAAGTATTGTCCTTTGATAGATAAGTGCATTATTTTCAGAGTATACACAACAATGATATATTTGAGGTGAGAGGAGTACAAATGTAGAATATTGAAAACAGGATGGTTTCTCAAAACAGTCTGAATGAAACCACAAACTTAAATATAAGTTGTATTGTAGCTTTATACTCTCTTTGCTAACTCCAAATGGAAACAAATCGATTGGAAGGTGATAGTACAAAATATGCCGGAGTATATTTCACAGGTTCATGAGAACCACTCTAACAACCCCATGAAATTAATAGTTCATCTGCTAATAAGCTGTGGCAGTGACTTTTCGTTTTATTTTGGTATTTAGAAAAATAAGCAATTGATTTTCTTTCGTGGGTTAAGAGCCACCACAAACACTTGGGGCTGTTTATAATTAAAAGCTTTCTCAGCCTGGAATCTTTTGTTAACCAAGAAAAATAAAACATAACAAGACAGCCTATTTGGCAAATGGCGCAGCCCACTACAAGTCAAAACTCAAAAAAGAAAAAAAAAAACAATGGAAATAGTGTTGAGTAACAAGTATTGCCATTAATGTATGGCACTAACTCCCCCCACCCCACCCCAGAAAAGGGTCTTTACACTTCATAACAAATGCTGTTTCCAGCTCTCTGTATACATGTGTGAAAAAACCTGCATCTCTCGCATAGCAAAACAGAAAACAATTACAGGATAAATCAATAATTGCACAAAAACTTAGGCACATGTAGGCACAAAGAAAAAAACAAAGTTTCTTTCCAACAGAAAGCCCGAGTGAACGCAAATATGCGCCTAGTTCTGTTTGATAAAGGCTGTCACCTCCTTTCAGAGGAATACAGGAAGAAATTTGACGATATTGTGACGTAGTCGGAAATTTAAAACTAAACTTAGCACGCCCTACGGACTCCCTACTGTAAAAAGGATAGAGTAATGAAGCTTTGTTGGTAATTCAAGAGGGAAAAGCAAAAACCCGGACTTTGACGGTTACGTACCATAAGCATGAAATAAAAATTTTCAAAGCCATGTAAGTTTTATTGAATAACCCTTTTCTATAATCAGTTTATAAACAGTTTCACATAAATACTATACCACTTACCTGTGGCTAAATGGGATGACAAGACTTAGTTTATTTTATTTTCCTGTTTCAAACTCGTTATCATACATTACAATACCCAAAAACAAAAGAAAAGAAAACTCGAACCAAGGATAAAATTGAACCACAACATTTACATAAACTAATTAAAATTTGCACATCGTAAACTGCACCACTCTAAATTATTAAATGAATTTTTGTCTTCCCTCATAAATCGTTCAGCCGGCGGAAACCTTCTCAGGTGCGTGATCATCGACAACTTGCCCATCGCATCAAATCGCGCAAAGTCCTGTTCGCGAAGTCAATATGTTAGCAGTCTAGCCTTCTATCGCAGAAGGACTGACTCGCAACTGAACATTCTCGAGATATAATGTATTACAAAAAAAATTTTCAAGTACTTGTAAAAAGATTTCGTGACCTGGTATGACGTGGCGTTTCGTTTCGACAATTAGAGAGTAAGATAATCGACAATTTTTCATGGTATAATATGTAACTCGTAAACGAGTGGTTAGGAATCCTTCCGCGATAGAAGTCCAGATTGCTAACATCTTGACTTCGCGAAAGGGACTTTGAGCGCGATGCTCGACGAGTTCACTTGAAATTTCCGAAAAGTATCTCACTAGTCTCTTAGCCGAGACGAAACGCTAGGTCATGTCAACCACGAAATTTGATAGTTTTTTTAATTTCAATCTAGTTATGCATTTGGTGTTGGGGGCAGGTGTTAAATATAATCAATCGGTGTATAGTTAGAAAATTAAAGTTTTGAGGTGTTACAAAAGAAATAATGAGTCGATGATAAAAAATAAAAAAAAACTTAATACTCGTTAAGAACTTTTTGTTTGTTGCTTGAAAACTCCCACCACAAAAATCGCGCATTTTACAAAAGCCTTTTATTTTAAAATGTTTATTTCACAACAGCATCAATAAGAGTAATTTGATCACTAGTCAGATTTTAAAATGTAGCTACTTTCAAATGAAAACTCTCCCATTGGTCAAATCTGGCTCATGATATGGAGAACAGTTTGCTTGAAAACAGTCCTCAGGGTATTTTTCATATTCTCGGCGACGGCTATATTACACTTGTCTCGAGTTTCACACCATTTTTCACAAAAGTTATAACTACGTACATTTATACCACGGAGATGCTTCATTTGTTCATTTTTGTTTCTCTAATCTTTCTGAATCCGACTTCAGCGTGTTCAGATGGTAAGACTTGTATTTGTAATTAATTCCTCAATTCAAACAAGCTTGTCTTATATTTTGTAGAAATTAACCTGGCGAGCGTCGAGTCAGACTTCCTAAAGTTTGAAGACTATCAACCTTACAATTTTATCCTTGCGTTTAAACAGCGGTAAAAGGTTTGTTTTCATGCAATGTTTTGCTCTATCGAGCTTTTGAAGCACCTCGTTTAACTCTCAGCCGCTAATTTCAAATTTATTTCGATCATTTGTCAAAACCGTTCTCATGATGATACATTCTTTGTAATTCAGTTCAAAACTTCTTTAATATTTCTTCTTAAGTTTTATCTTCACTTAGTTCTGAAGACATTCGACTAACATCTTTTGATGTAAGTCACTATTGCCATTTCGTAGATAAGATTTGCGCTTTTAACAACAGAAGCTTTTAATTGAACTAAATGCACTTAAACTGATTCTTCTCCATTTTATAAACCATGATGGTTGTGTGGCAAGTGTCCAAAAATCGGAAAAGGGAAAGTTACTCCTATCAAGAAAGCCATATATGTGCAATTGTCGCCAACAAAATCCCCTATCGTCGTCGCTAATAATCACAAGGAAGACATTGGGTAGTCCAGGTGGCTAAAGTTTCCATAGATGAACGAACCGAAATTTCTATGACAACCGTTTAAAAGACGGGTTTGGATTCACGTCAACTTTCTTTCTATATTTACTTGCTTATTTGCTTATTTCTCGCACAAGTCAAATTTAATGGCGGCCATAGTTAAAAATTTACAGAAATTGGGATTTCAACTGTAGACCTAGATAATAATGTATGCGGTATTTTCAATCCACTGCGTGACTTATATTACGAATCGCCTTGGTCCCACCCACACTTTTCCTTAGTAAACCAAAATTTTCAGTCTGAATAAGTGCACTCCAAAATGAATGAATCAAGTCCGGTCCGGTCGATTTTGCTTGAGACACGAATTCGCTCGTTTCTTGTGTGTTGTAAGATATTCATGTACTAATACTAAAACAACAATCAAATTGATCGGATCTCTTCATTTTTCAGAGTTTTACGGAAATATCGGCAATATCACGCTGGTATTTTGACATTCGGATCGACAAGAACGGTGATCGGGTAGCGATCGCCATGTTTACTCCATAAACGTGATCGCTGACCAGCCGCTGAGTGAAAACAGTACGGTTCAGTGGTGAGGGCGGGGTGAGGGGTGGGTGCGGGCAGATTATCAGGAGATTTTTGGGAACATTCGAACATATGCATTAAAGTATCATGATAAACATTAGGACTGTCAGTCTTAATGATGTCGCGAAGATGAAGCAGTTGTGTTATTTGATTCGTACTTCACATTCGAGTTGAAGCTTGGGTGACACAGGTTATTTCTTACCGTGGAATCGACGAGGGGAATTCGAACATTAGTCGTAGTGTTTGAATTGTTGGAAGAAATGGTCGCATGGGGATGGTAAGTTTAACGAACAGTTTCAAATTTTGCAGCTTGAATTGAAAGTAAAGTTCATTTGAATTGCTTTCGTATGTATTTCTGACGGTTTTAGATCTACCTGCTTGATTTATATCGGTTACGCTTCATGTTGACAAGTCCCTCAAAATGGCGGCCAAACTTGTAGATTACCGAAAATTAGGTAAGTTCACTGAGTTATAAAGTTCTCGTAAAGGTCGGGCCGCAAAGTTTTTTTTCTGTAGTTACCTTTTCTATGATAACTACTTCCTAGCTATGTTAGTTGGATCAGTTAAGAACGCCTCACTTTTCCAAACATTTACCTTGAATTTGATCGGTTTGGCGTCTGTGATTTAGGCAAACCGATAAGGTGTCATTCAAGTCTTCCTGTTTCCTTGATTGAAACGTGATGTTTGCGAAAGTCGCCTCGATAGATAAGATAAAGTTAATATACATGGCTGTAGTATTTGTTTTTTGCTGAGTTCCGTAGTTTTTTGTAAATTGTCCTCCAAAGTTGTATGAATTAAAGTCTTGAAAAGTGTCACGACAAGCCTTCGCTCGAGTGAAATTTAATTTCCGTAAAACTCAGAAAAGTAAAGAGATCCGATCAAACTGATTGTTGTTTTAGTATAGGTACATGAATGGGTAAAATTTACGCACAGCCCCATACTATTGTAAAACAGATCTGTTTTCCTAATGGCAATGTATTGTTTTGTCATTGTTTTCTCTATCCAAGAACTGAATGCATAATGTAGTATGGGGCTATGCGGAAATTTTACCCATGAATGTCTTACAACACACAAGAAACGAGCGAAATCCGTGTCTCAAGCAAAATCGACCGGACCGCTCTTACAGAGACACTCTCTCAAATTTTTGTGCAAACGTGCATTATTTTGAATACATGTACTATCCAACTGCTAAGATCATGGTGGCCTTCGTGAGTCATAATCATGCGGTTATTACTTCAAATAATAACATAATAATCTGTCTCTAATAAATCAGAAACAACAAACGTGTAACTTAACAATATATTAATAAGAAAATTATAAGTTTAATTAACAATAGTATAAAAATTGTAACATTGTAGCTTTATGTAACATTATGAAGTTCCTTATACGCAGTGAATTTAATCTGAAGAGACATCTGTTAAGGAAAAAATGCTTGAAACGTTCGGTTTTAACTCTGGGTAATATAAAGTCATGCTTGCACTCACGGAGCACACATCTCCTCTTTGGAAGTATATGATCACCACTGATTACGTTCTTAAAAAGCTCAGAGTCCCTATTTTTAATTAAGTCAAGTATAGCTGTTTTCTTTGTAGTGAAGCCAAACCTGTGGGCCCTCTTGAGAAACCTGTCGATTTTGTCTAAAAATTTTCGCTGGTAAGCTGCACCCCAGGCTTCAACCTCACACAAGAATACGGACATGATGAGGGAGTTAAAAAAATTATTGAGTTGATCTTTGGAATATCCATAGGATTTGCATACCCTAAGAATGTACATTCGACTGCTAGCTTTGGATAGCATATTGTCGATGTAGATGTTCCAGTTCGTAGCATCTTCCTAAAATGTGACTCCTGATAGTTTTAACCATGATTTCCTTTTTATTCTTGTTAATTCTGGAGGGGATAACCAAGTAGTTTTGCCGTGCATGCACATTTCTTATGTTTTGGTAAAATTGAGAACATCTCGTTGGTATCCGTCACTTCTTCATGTTCTCAACCTCAGCGGCGGCAGTATCTGTGCTTTGTCTAACTGAAACACTTATCGTAATGTCGTCAGCATACTTCACTAGGAGATTGTTCATTGGAGAAACGGCTGCAATATCATTCACCATAAGAAAAAATAGAATGGGTCATTATATGGTGCCTTGAGGAACTCCCCTATTGACGTCAAAGAACGCAGTTCATTACAATTTTATTGAATTAACCCTCTCAAATGGCAATTTCGTCTTGAAACAAAACTAAAATGTGTATCATCCTTCATTAACAGCCCATATCGATTCAAGTTTGTTCCAATTTGGACTGCCGATAGAGAACGCAAAGTAATAGTGTAAAACATAACTCTTGTGAGTGGCATACTCGAAATAAGTGAGGTTTCCTCTATATACAGTACTAATGAAAAGTAACCGAAGGCTGTTTTACAGGCAACTGCCGCATAATGGAATTTCCCAGTCACCTTTCCAACGTTGGAAAACGCTTGATTAATCACGTGATAAGAACCATACCAGATATGGACCAAGACTCATGTGAGTGGCAGTGTTACCTTGATCACGACTGTGTCAGCATAAACTTACAGTTTCAAGGAACAAACCGGGAATGCGAGTTAAATAATTCAACTCATAAAGAGCACGACGAGGACTTCATAAGCGATGACCGCTTCTTTTATCGTGGAACAAACGTGAGTTCCTGGTCTCTTACCTTACCTGGTATTCTTTTCATCAATTTCTAGCCTGTAAACTCTGCTCAAGGGGGCACAAAATATCTATTTCAACAGCCTTTTGACACCAAAACGTAATCAAGGATACTTTTTTCATCAGTTATTTCCGTTTGTTATTTTTTGTTTTTGTTTTCCAGAATGCTTGCCGTATGTCTCCCTGCAAGAACAACGCAATTTGCCAATCTGGTTTCACAGACAAAAGATATCGCTGCCTATGTACCTCGGGATTTACAGGCCATGACTGTGGAGTTGGTAAATCATTTAAAACCTAGTTGTACTGTTACAACACGTTTCATGGCCTGCCTCACAGGACACAAAATCGCGTAGAAGAAGACAAACATAGAAAAAAAGGATGACGAAATGGAAGACTCCACGCCGGCATTGACAATTTATCGGTTTTTTGCCGAAATTCGGCAATAAATTACAACGAGAAACATGAGCTCGTGTGCTCTTGATAAAATTAATTAAGGTTACAAAACTAATTACGAAATTAAGGCACAAATGGAAAAATGTGTACAATTTATGATCGCTGCAACTAAGAATGGATTGATTTTTTTGTTATAGATGTTGACGGGTGTAATCACATCAACAACGGCAGTGAGCATGCTAAGTGTACCAATACTGCTGGTTCTTACAACTATACTTGTAAGGAAGGATATCTTGGAGACGGATAAACTTGCGAGAAACCTAGTAATAAGTGTTGCTTTGGTAGACTGGAAGAGATTAAAAGAAGTAAGTCGTTCTAAAGTAGTGACGAGTAGGAATTTATTGTGGTGACACAGAGAGGATCTTCCACATCGAGAAGTCCTCAAAAGAGGGTTGCCCTAAGGGTTGTGTGCCTTGAAGTAGGAGGGAATACTCTTCGGCATCCTTGTTTGGGTTTCGCTGACACCCTGACTCAGACAAAAAATGCCATCATCAACACTTGTTATCAGACCTGGCCTCTAACTCTTTATCAATCTTTTTTTTTTCAGAATTCTCCATCAATTCATCGATACTGTCACACAATGAAGATTACCTCAGCCTTCTCTCCTGGTTCCTTGTTCCAGCCGTTGGAAATGTTTCTCATTGGTTGCTGTGTTATCGTGCTTCACGTGACGGAGCTGTCGATGAATATTTTCACAACCGATGTGATCGACTCAATGACACCATCACTGTTATTAGAGTAAATAATTATGTATTTGGCGGATACGTTGACATTCCTTGGGGTAATTACTTTCCTTCTGTCCTTTTTGGTTCAGTAAGAACGACTAATGAGTACACTGCAACTAATACATTTAACAAAGTCTCACTTGGCCACACTTGTTTCAGTCATTTCTTAAAGCGTTTTTCGCCGGGAGGGCTGGCTCTTATCTGAAATGGCGGGGTTTCTGTAATAGGGAGTTGTCCGCGGGGCGAGAGTCAACTGTAACTTGAAAGTCAATAGGATATTTCAATTACGTTCAGACAATCCATCTTTCAGAGTCCAGCAATGAATATAAATATGGCAAGACAACCAACGCATTCATATACTCCTTGAGCAACAGCGAAGGAAGTGAAGCGTTCAAGAGCATGGTCAAAAACTCAGAGAGGGCCATCCATTATCATATTTACCAAGGGCCTTCATTTGGAACTGCTGACGTCCGAGTAGATTTTAAAAGCACCGTTAACCAATCAGTTGCACATTTTGGCAATGATTACCATCTTCCAAGTAATGTCATTATTAACAACACGCAAACCATCCTTGCAGGTGTTACAAATTTTGAGCCTGACGAGGTCGAGGTGTTTTATCTGAATAGAACTGCGCCTTAACCCTTTAAACCCTAAGAGTGACTAGCATCAAATTTGTCGCTACAATATCACATTTAAATCACACGTCAAGGTCATAAGAGTAAAGGAAATGATCAACAACGAAAGATTTTGATTGGTAAACAAATTCTCCTTGTCAGCACCTTGGAAAATATGTAAAGAGCAGTATAGAGAATAATCTCATAATGCATGGTGAACAGTTGGATTTAAGAGGGAACTGAATGGCATATCAAGGGGTCTAATAATTCAATAAAGCTATATAGACATTGATGTTGATACGTTAGCCAATGTAAAAGCATTCTTTTGCTACTAGTAATTTGTTTCTTGCTCTTTGTATAATAACAAAGTGTGCATTTGAAACCCGTAAAGCTACTATTCAATGAACATTGGTTCATCGTGTGAATGTACGTACCTGCTGCCAAGAATGTGCTCTAGGATTGCAAAATCGCCATATCTTTTGCGAACTGAGCGAATTGACCACTATACTGCATTTCCGTCCAGTTTAAGATCACAAATAATTTCAAGATGTGGTAAGAATTAAACATTGCCATCCAAGCCGCAAGACGCAGGCGAGGCAACGTTAAACAAGTTAACAAGTAGGCGAAGTGACCGGGATAAAAACAGCGAAAGGGAACTTCCAGTCCACAGAAATCTCTCTAAACTCTTGACTGGTGTAAATCATTTTAATTTATTTCATTATAATTACGACCACGCCTGGCCAAACCAATAATAAACATGTACCAACCATATCCGTTTAAAACGCTTCCAAACCACCAAGAGTTACCCTCAGTAAATCAGCTTGAATTGCCAATGGGAAATAGTTTTATTTTAGCTTTTTATCAGAAGCAAACTATCCCATCCAAGAATTCATTACTTTAGGTTTAGTCGGGCAGAATAAATTGTGGTATATGCGACTGGCTACGAGGCTCTACTTCTCGTCAGTTAAATGTCCTTCAGAGTCTGGCAGTAGTTACTAAGAGTTGCATTTCATCCAGACTTCTTTGAAGATAAGCAGCAAAGTGACCCGGGTTGGTCTCTGGGTTACTATTCACAGACGATACACCAAATATGATCTTCCCTTTCTGAGGGTTATAACAAACTCCATAGCCATCGGGTACTGCTGGGCCGAATGACAAGAACAGCTCGTGATTGGAAGGAACCTGTTAAAGAAACAAACGTATCAACGACAAAGATAAGAAGTGTCCATCTGGAAAATAAAATTACTTTGCGCATTGTTTCTTTTCTTTCGAGTGAGACTTTTTAGCTGGCGATGGTGAATTCTCATTATTCTAACCAACATTTCCACGCGACTCTAAATTGTGTCAACTGTCCAAAGACTGGAACAAAGGAAAACAGAATACAGAATGCTCTGCCACCGCCTACACAGAACTCATGAATACTCCTTGGGTCAGCAATAGTAAGACTGTGGGAAAATGGACAGAAATACTACATTTTAAGAACAATTCGTAAAACAATTAGTATGGTTGATTCGTTTAATCGTGTAAATGATCAACTAGGTGAGAGTGGTCCTAAGAGACTGTTGTCCGTTAGAGCGCATGACATTTCGATAACATGAGCAGAAGTGATCATCAGAGTCAAGTAACCGAGGTTATCCTTTCCTTTAGCCAATCAAAACGCCACTCACTTCTACCGAAAGCAGTCATCTTCAGGACTGCACCACCAAACTATACCATCGCCCGTAACTCCCTATTCAAAGCACTTACTGCCCCAGCCAAATGGCGAAAAAAAAAGATTCCTCGAACTAATTCGAGCCCACGAACCTCCATCATGGTGGTTGGACGCTAAACCGCTGGTTTTCTGTTGAAGAACTAGTGTCGAGCAAGAAATGATGCTTGATGATGATAAAATTTAAGCTGGAATATGCAGTAATATAGGTAATCATTACCTGGCTCGTCGAAAGCTTGTAATGTAGCGCGTATTGATAGGAGCTGTCTATGAAAAGCTCATGTAGCTTCATTCCTGATTCAATCGCAGCTAACTTCATTCCCAACAAATGTCTGTCGATAGCTTGACCATTGACGGTCTGGGAGAAAAAATAACAAAATAATAATTAAAAGAGATCACATTTACAATCTCCATGACCGACAGCCCAAACCCCGCGACGATTCCAGGCCTGAAATGTGTAAAAACATAAGATTCTCAGTAAATGGTTTGAACCTGTGAGGTAACATGTAATGGTGTAGTTTGATCGTCCGGGTGAGTGTAGTCCTGAGAAAGGAATGTTGTCGGTGGTGGTGACTGACGTTTCGACAACCTGAGCGGAAGTCATCATCAGAGTCAAGTGAATGGTTATTGTCAGTCGAATGGTATTATTAACCATTCACTTGACTCTGATGATACACCATTACAAAAGATTCGCACTTTTCACTGGCTTTCATGGCCCGTAAGAACCCTGATGCACAATTCAACTCGTCCCAGACAGACACTAAATTTTAAAAAGTAGTTTTATTAATGACTTGAAGAGGACATGAAGTGGGCGACACTCGGGAAAAAAAGGGTATTAAACAATCCTCAATCCAACCTGGTCTAAAAAAAAATAGTATTCACAACTATAATAATAGGTGTTCTACGACTTACATACAGTTGTTGTAACTGATCCGCCTTTAAGTCGGGCGAAAAGTAAAAGAGCAGGGTGTGTCCTGTTTTACACCTCTTTCAATTTGTATTAAATAATTTTCACGTCTTTCCACTTTCTGCGTTTGACTGTAAACTTACATTGGCTCGGTACTACAAAAAAGTAGACTTTTTTGTGCAGTTAGCATACCTCTTTGGTGTAGTTCGTATGTGCTTCTATCGCCTTACGCATTAGATCCAGTTTTTCAGCATTCTACGAACAAGAAAAAGAAAATTCTCTATGTGCAACCACTTCAAGTACAATAGCATCTTTGACAAAAGAACAAAGAAATAGAGGTCACCCGGGAAACTCGCTGCCCGTGAGAAAGTGACCCTGCCCTGTCCTGAGCCTACCCCTCAATTCTCTCCTCTCTTAACCCTTTAGCGCCTGAAAGTGACCAGCATCTAATTTCTCCTTACAATATCAGCCCTGAATCAAACATGACTAAAGCAGCTCTTGATTGTGAAACAAATTCTCCCTGTCAGCCTCTTTGGAAATGTGTGGAGAACAGTATGGAGAATATGCATACTGATGTTAGGGTGTAAAGGGTTAATCCTTTCACAGGAATAAAGCTAGAAGCTAGAGAACACAACCAACTGAAGAGCATCATTGCCTCCTTTAGAAATGTGTAATGCGTGCACTTTAATCCTAAACTCCTTTTAATTAGCAACCCTCACCGTTTTGTTTGGTGAGACCATGGCTTTGACAAATTCAGAAGAGGCAATCGAGGCAGAGCGGATGGTGTCTGTCCTTCCCAGCACAAATTTACGCGTAGAACCAGTTTCATAAGTTGGAGGGTTGTGATTATGAAGTCTAAAAAAAAAGAAAAGGGGAGGAGCCTTTGGATAAAGTACATAAGGTTGATCAGAAGATGAACAGAAGGTGTATCCTTTTATCAACACTGACAAAAGCTTTAGAGCGTAACAATGACAAGTGCTTGTACAACAAGTGCTTGTAAACTTTATCTAAAAACACACAATGAAAGATTTTCAATTCTACAAGAAATGCTTGTATACTCTTTTCTTCCTGAGATGACTCAATCAAATACTATTGTACATAGGCAACTAAGAGGCAAAAATACTTCGAATGCTGATTAAAATATCGTTTTGTAGCATAATTGTGATTCTTTGATGTTTGAAATTCTCATTTAATTTAACACCACCTCCTGCTTCACCCTAAACGATACTGAAATACAAGTAAAATGAAACCGTATTGGGGGTGGGAGTGGAGCAAATTCTAAAACATTAAGGTGGGAGCAAATCAATTGCTAGGAAGAATTTAAGTGAGTGAGTACACTGTACCAAATACAAAAAAATGTAAACATGAGATAACAGTTAAGGGATTTTTACCTGTAAAACGTCAGTTGAAATGCCATTTGTATCCAAGCATCTGGGCTCATCTTTTGCTTTTTCACAAAGTCTTTTCCATAGCCATCATACACAAAACACCTCAGGTCTATGTCACTGACCATACTGAAAGATAATCATTAACATTTACAATGAGCCCAGATGAGGAGTATGTCTTTTCATGTGAAGGGGTAGTAACCAAAAAAGTGACAATAAATTTAAGTAACCAACTATGTTAGATTTTAATTTATTTTTGTCTCTAGTTTATTTTTTAAGTGGACTCCCTTGCGTAGTATCTACTTCTAATTGCCCAGTATTGTAAGATAAGTAATATGAATACTGTTTCCTAAAACTGCAGCCCTTCTCTGTACTCATTGTCAACTTTGATTGAAAGCGACAGCGCCAAAGAAATAAATTAAAGGGACAGTTTCTCACAGAATGCTGTTATTTGTGGGCGATTTTATCACCTTGAAAACACTTGCTACAAAAGTGACATAAAACTGACACCTGAGCAAAGTCATAGAGTCTTCTTGACCTAGATCCTTCAAATATATTGAAGGATCATCATTATTAACACAATCATAAAGATTTTCCAAGATATTAGCCACTGGATTTGATGATCCACTGATTTCTGCACTATGTGATCTTGCACAACAGACCCCAGTTTGGCTCATTCACTCCTTGTGTCCAGAATGTACTTGCCAATAGTTTCTATCCTAACAGTGACTGACAGGGAAATTTGGATGCCACAAGAAATTGAGTGATAATATTACCTCTTCTTCATCACTTATGCACTGACCACCAAACTAAAGGCCAGGTTGCAGCCTTTGCCACTTTTCTGATACCATAGATGTTATCTAATCTACTTATAGGCAACATTTACCTGTCCAGATCAGCAGCTGATTGCTGTATTTCTTCCTTCACTTTGTTGGTTAAATTCCATCTCAGTTTAGATGGTGGTTTCAGGTGGTTTGCCTGTGCTGGCTCTATTTCTTGATGACCATCCCTATGAAAATAGTATCAGCCATTGACATTATTAAGTCTTGGTAATGATAATAAAATTCTTCCAAAAAAGATCACCCTGGAATTTCTCCTTCTTCACAACAAAAACTAAAAAGTTTAATTTTGATTTCTATCCTACTGAATAAATAGAGGAACACTTTTCAGCCAATCAAATTCTAATTGCTCTTTAAAACTCCAACAGACACCACTCATAAAAAAATAAAAATTAATCTGAAAAAATTTCCAATCAAACAATGTTTGTTTTCTAGAAATACCAAGAACCTACAATGTAAGAAAAAGTCCAAGATGGAGCAAGAAAATAAAACTCATACATCTTAGTACTCATTAATGTTGTACACAATAGTCAGACTGAGTACAATAACTGTCCAGTCACATCATGGCTGATTCCAGTGTGTGCCCAAAAGAATCAGAGAATGGCACATTTATTCTAGACTTACAGGTTTTCAATAATGTAGTTACAAAGGGCAGCCACTGGGGGGCCCTCTGCTGCAGAATGTTCATAACACATTCCTGCATGTCCATCTTCACTCACACATATCTGCAATATAACCATTTTTCTCCCAAGATTACAAACACAATTATATGTAAACTATTGAATAAAAATACTATTTGTTGAAACCATCATCTAAGAGGAGTAAAACAAAAAACAAAATTTTTCAATCACAAATAACTTGGGAACTTGTCCTTTAGAATCTTCAAAAATTTGCATCATGTTACCCAAGAGGTCATAAATCCATAACATGTTTGAAACAACTTAAAAGAAAAATTTCAACAATGGATCTATCCTATAAAGTAGTTCAAAATTAATTTTCTTAAAAAGTGTGAATTTAAGTATTCCACCTGATAAGCATTATGACTGCATTGTTAAAAAAATTCAGGTTAATGATAATTCACTCACAAATTGACTGTAAAGTTGGGTGATTCCTATAAATGTTAAATTGTTTGTTGAATGTCATGGGGAAAACTGAGAAGAACTCTGGAAGTAAAGCTGCTAGCTTAAACCCTTTCACTCCCACAACTCTTTAGTAATTCTCCTTACTATCTGCCATACAATTGTTATGATATTAGTTTGTAGAATTTGGAATTGGATCAATTACTTATAGTCCTCTACTTGACATCTTTTTTTATGCTCATCATTTGTCTGCTTGATATTGTATTGATATCGTATGGAGAAATTCTGTCTTGATCATCCATAGGAGTTAAAGAATTAAGCACGAACGTGGATAAACTGTAGGATTTATTCAAGCCTCCAGTAGAAGACCTCCTGAAGGTTTTTGTTGAGGTCAATGTAAATTTGCAGCTTTTTTGTCCTACAGACAAACCACAATACAGAGGCTAAGTGTTATCATGATGAACATTTTCTTTTCTCTTGAATTAACAATACCTTGCAATAATTTTACCTGAGTAATTTTATCAAACCATCTGTTAGCACTGTTGCAACTTGTACCATCTCCATGAAGGCACTGCCTGGCTGTGATGGAGGAAGATGGCATTTCCATCACACTGGGAGCTTGTGTGGAGGGAGGAGGTGGTTTGTCAAGGCATAAAACAAAGATTGCATTCTCTATTGCATCAAGGTTGGATTTGTTTTGTTTATCTGTGAGAAAATGATAGGAAAAAAGAAACTTGAAAATCCTACCATTTAATTACAAGAAAAAGAGAGCCATTTGTCCATTTGTATTATGTGTAGATGACAAATTGGGATGCACTGTATAAGACAACCAAAGCTAGCATAAATAAAGTAACATAATAACATCATACTCCATTGTTATAAAAATAATACAAGAATATAATTGTCCAAAATAAGAACGAAGGACTCCTAAAAAATCATGATAAGACATGCCCCCTGAAACTGTGAATTAAAATTAATTTTAACATTGTAAAATACAACTTAGATAAAATCTAGTTCACTATATTGTTCAGACTTATCAGGAGAACCCTAGAAGCAGTTGGCTTCACTCAATTTGCCAAACAAGAGTAAACCAGAGCAAGAATTGTTTACTTTTCTATCAAGCATGCAAAATATGTCATGACCCAGTCATGGCCTGAAAATAAACAACTCACAGGCTTAGAGCACAATGTGACTGCATTCATTCTTGAGTTAATCTACACAAAGTCAATAATGTCAGAAGTCATTAAACTGGATACTTTGTCTGTACAATGTAGTTATCACCTTTGAGTAGTCTTTTTCGTTGTTTTGCCCAAATTGTTCGATCAGCTGAAGTGAGAACTCCAACAGCCTCTTCTAGTGGTTCACTGTTGTTTAGAATTTTCTCCATCTGGGCAACCAACTCTCCCTCACTGAGAAGCTGGCTTCCATCAAAGACATTGAGAACATAAAACTATCAAGAAACAAAAAAATTTTTAGCATGAGTGCACAGATCAATTCAGTGGCAAGATCAAAAAGAGAACAGGAAGTGGAAGGAATTGAGAGCCAAGAATACATAGAGCTCTCGACGGGAAATGATTATCTCCCAAAAGTAAAGATTTGACTAAATAATTATATTGAAAAATGTTTCAGGTGTCCTGTTAAATGTAACCATTTGTGCTAAAATAAAGGTCAAACACAATTGATACTAAATTTGAATATAAATTAAATTGAAGTGTAGAAGCTTGCCCTTTTGAATTTAAGCCCTCTCCAACTACACTGAAGACACAATATAGTGTAATAATGATCAGTTGTACCTGAGCGACTGCCATATATTTCTTATATTGTTAGTTGTGAGAATTTGCTGTAACAATACTGTTGTAAATCAAACAATATCCTTGGTATTTGTTCCTCCTCTTGATTGTCTTTGCTCCAAATTCATGGATAAGATTGCTCCTGTGAGTAAAGGGTTGTATATTGAAACAGAACCCTCTCAAACACTAAAGTTTATTGTACCTCATTACTATGAGCCACCAGCACATGCTTGACAGTTCCTTTGGGTGCCACAACCACCTCATCCCTGACTGGCTGTGGGATGCGGCATGAACACAGAAGCTTTAAGTACTGCACCATGCACAATGGACTCTTACCCATCATGTCAACTGGAATAGCCTCCCTAAAAATTATCAGGAATTATGTTCATCAAAATGTGAATATGCTAAAATATCAATTTGATGAAAAACTTGAAAGTCAAACTTACGTATCCAAAAGATCCTTGAACTTCAACACACTTGAGATCACCCTTGCAGCATACCTGTGGAGGATTTTAAGAAATACTTTTGGAATTTACAGTAGTATACTGAGAAGGAGGCATGGTAAGTATTCAAATATAAATGTAACCATTTGTTAGAATATAGGTAAACCACAATTGAGACTATAACTTTGAAAACAAAACCACGGTGATTCAAAAGAGAAATGTAATTGTTTGACTCACAATGTGGTCACTTTGGATGTACAATCCACATCCAAAATGGCCACTTTAGATCACCCTTACAGCATACCTGCAGAGGATTTTAACCCTTTCACTCTGAAGATCCAATCAGTAATTCTCCTTACTATCTGCCATACAATTCTTGTGATGTTAGTTCAGAGAATTTGGTATTGGATCAACTAATAATTCCATAATTGATATTCTTTTCTATTCTCATCACCTGCCTGCTTGATACTGTATTGATATTGTAAGGAGAAATTCTGTCTTGGTCACTTGTGGGAGTGAAAGGGTTAAGTAATATTTTGGGTATGGTAAGTCTGATAACTAGTGGTGCACAAGTTATCAATTTGGTATACAGGTGCTGCCATCGATACAAAAGCAAAAACTTTCAGCATTGTAGGCTAACAAGTTCTCTTCTGAGAAAAATAAGATACAGAAACTGGAAATTAACAAGTAACCTTGCTTAATAAGGCCCTTTTTAACAAAACTTACTTTAAATGCCCAGTTTTATCAGTGACAGGAAACTTTGGAAAGGCAAGGCCTGGACTTGTTGTTATCACTACAGGTGATCTAGAATCAAAATAAGCTGCATTGTCCCACCAGGCAGCCAGCTATGAATAGAGATGTATTATCAATAATACTGTTTGCAGAAATACCCCAATTATTAGGTAAAAAAAGTACAATATTGTTGACAAGAAAATCTATTTATTGACTGAAAGGGAGGGCTGGACAGGAAAATATTTAAAGCAAGGTTATGCTGTACAGACCAAGAACCAATTATTTTCCCTTCCAGACCCAAAAAACTCACACAATACGCATTTTATCATACAATTACTAAGTATTGAAACTTTTGCATACTTTGTTTAAAATGCACATAAAATGCAATAGATAAGTACATGCTGGGGCAACTGCAAACACAATGCCACAATACAAATGTTTTCTTTGATCTTTTTGGGAGTCAGATCAAGATACTAACAATCCATCGGTAAAAGTAACTTATTTTCTCACTCCTGCCCTTCAACTTTTTGCAACAAATTAGTTGTTCAAGTATGGAGCCAGATGCCTTTTTCCGGACCAGCTCACTCCAACCCATCTGGGCCCCTCACATGTCAGCTTTTATTATGCTTTTCTGTAAGACTGAGTGAGAAAGGCTAGATAACCTTATTGCATACAGTGTCCATTTTTCATTGAAACCAACATTGTTGATGTTGAAGAAATGTAAAATGGTTTCCATGTTTACATAGCCTGATGTAAACACGCAGGAGGTTGGGAGAACACAAGAGAAGCGTAGGAAACCATGACGTGAAGCGGAGTGGTTTCTAGCTTATCAAGTGTTCTCCCAACCTCCCAAAATTTCAGTTCTGAGAATTTGGTGCTAAATTGAAGATTTTACCCTAGACTGAATTTATATTTTTCTGTAGTCTATTTGCCCACCTAATGTCATATAGACATATGACATTAAGAGAAAGAGTTGAATCATGTCTGCCACTCTGAAAAAATTGTCATCTGTTAATGATCACTTTGATTGTACTGCTCTCTCCAAGTCAACTTCTACGTCAAACTTAAAAGAGGAGACTCTTTTCCATTTGGAGGGAAACATCTTGCTCCTTCTTAACTTATCATAGCAGACATTGCCTTACCCAGTTTTTTTCAGTTTTTGCCCTTTGTAGCAGTTTATTGTGCAGCACTTCACCATCTCCATTTGGTTTGAGGAAATCTTTCACTAAATCTTTTGTATACTCATAGTCCTCTTCATCTACCAATGGTTTTATTGCCAGTAGATATTTATCCATGGTCTGTTGTAAGGAAGGGACAGGCAGGGGGGGAAGGGAATCTTGTTTTGCCAACATGCTGTAGTGAGCTGCAGATGTCTTAACCATGATTGGTCTCACTAAACTCGCGACTATCTGCGTATAAAATGATAGTGATAGTGGGCAAAATTTCCGCACTGGAGCTTCATTATTCAGTGTATCACCAATAAGATGTGCATGCATAATTAAGTATGGGGCTGTGCAGAAATTTTTCCGTGATAGTGCCTTACTTCTTGATAATTTTATTATGCAATCACAGTTTTTCATAAGTGAGTTTAGGAATGGTATAATCTTAGGCCCAGGAAAGTTGAGCACTTTTCGTGATTCGATTTGCGATCGATTTACCAAATTTCACTTTGGTTAAAGCTCTGCTGTAAGCTTGAGTTTTACTTACGTTGCATTGTCAAAGGATCGTTTCCTGCCTTAAGCAGAATTACCTTCAACCTAGGTTAAATTTTCTAGATTCTTATAAGTATCAGCCCTATAGAAGGGCTCAAAGTTTATCTCACAGACCAATATTAGTACTTGATGTCATTTTTTCATTCAAATACCAATTGGAAAAACACACCCCCAGCCACGCCACATGACGCGAATTTTGCTTCTCTGATGAGATTTGAAAACACTACTATTTAATACGCTTACCTTCGCTTTCGGGATCTGTCTTAATGCTAAACCCAACATACGAACTCCCTCAGTTCACTGCATTAAAAAAAGTTGCGGAAAGGTTATGGCTTCTTCGAATGAAGCTTTATTTTGACTAAATCCCGTCACTTATCACGAACAGCGCCATTTCACGCTTACCTCGTGTTGTGTCCAGGCTCCACTCTCTTTGTTTGTATTCGCTTCAAGTACAGCGAATGTTTCCTAAATAAATCTGGAAATATTGAAAATCGAGAAACAAAATAACTCTGCCGAGAAAGCACGGTCAGAGCGAGTTCCCAAACTGCGAAGTGTACAATCTTTAAGAATTCTAAATTTCGTTTCGCGTGGTAAATGAACTTTGGACTTTGATTCAAAGAACAATATTTGTTACCAATTAACCAATCGCTAAACGTAGACGAGGAAAAGTTCGGTTACAACTCACTGCTTTGTATCCACGTCAACTGAACACAAAAACTCATGACTAGTTTTATGTTAATCAAACAATAACAAACGAAATACGTTATTTCCGGTGTTTTGTTTCGTGCAGTAGTTCCGAAGTCTACTCAGATATTGCGTGCGTCGCATTCCCAGCTTAGAGGTCATTACCCAAAGTTCGAAAAAGTCTGGGGTATGAAAAATTTTCAGTGTTTGATGTTATGAATTGCCCTAGCCTCAATAACAGAAATGGCCAGTATACCAACGTTTTTCTAAGGGTGCTTGCGAAGAAACAAATATGGCGATCCTGAAAAATTTTCACCAAATTTAATTTTGCGGGGCCTTCTTCGAGTTCTTAACGAAACGTTTCTCAAATCAGTCTTACTCAGTTGCTTCCTAGCCCTCTCCCCGGTCCCCTCCCCTGCCCCCCACCCCGCACAGTTGCTTCGCTATTTTAGAGTATTCTTAAGACGCTTAAAAGCTCTTTTTGTATCGCATAACAAATTATTCGCTCGCAAATTAATGGACAATTGAACATTTAAATGAATAAATAAATAGGATATCTGATTTTAACCGCTTAAGACGAAAGTCCCGACCTTTTCTCTCAGAGGGCAAGTAAAACGATTACTCGATTACTCGATTATCAAATATACCGTGTGATAAAGGAAAAATTTTAAAGTTACCCCTGACTGTTGAATTTAGGGCTAACGTCGAAAGTTAAAATGCTGCAACTTCTCCACAAAGGTCAGGTACAACCTAAGAATTCATTTATAATTACCCATATTCACGTAAATCGATAGAAATATAACCATTCCGATAGCCATATCGCTTTGATCCAACACAGAAAGGACTGATGAAATTAGGAGATCCTCGCAGCTAAGAACACTACTGAAACGAGTAGTTGTAAATAGGACCTGAAAAAATTTTCAGGCCCGAACGGGATTTGAACCCATGACCTCTGCGATACCGGTGCAGCGCATATCATATATATATGTTATTTGCCGGCTGGGAGGACCGTATGGTGAAAAACTGTGACCGAGGTCTTGAAAATACTGCCCGAGGCCGTAGGCCGAGGGCAACATTTTCAAGACCGAGGTCACAGTTTTTCACCATACGGACCGACCCTTAGCCGGTAAATAACATATTTATTGTTTTTAAACTTGACGAAATTCTTTCCGAAAGAACGCGAATGATTTATGGCCGTAAATACGGCAAGATCTTCCATAAACTGAACAATTTTTGAGTGAGTAAATGGTAGTTGAAATAGAGGTGATGCAAATTTAAGAGAGATGCCTCAGCGAACATTTTCATTTCCGTAACGATAAAGGTGATTTAAAAGGCTTCCAAACAAACTTTGAAACATTATTTTTACAAGTATCTGTCACAATCTGACACCTGTCAATTAGAGAGCGCGCAAGAAAAAAAAAAGCGTAGGAACATTTGAAAACCAACAGAACTAGTTTGGCAAGGACTGTCACGACAATATTTTCTTCAAAATCAGTCAATGATCTAACGGAAAGTATTATTCACTCTCATCGACCATTCATTCATGTACGAAGATTTACCTCTGTTCATTAAGTAAACGGCGAGGAAAGTAATTGTGAGTAAATTCAATTTTTTTATTTTGAAGTTGTGAGAGTTTGCTCGTTTGTTTGCTGAAATGGCGTGTTTAACTCTGGTCTTTCCTTCACAAAAACTAAATTCGAACGGCACACTCCAACGAGACACAAGGGAATTTAATGCGGCCTTTTCTCAAAAAACATCCTTCAAATTCTGTTGTGCAATTTACGGTACAAATGTCCAAATTGAACGGAATTGGAAAGACTCACCGGGAGCGTATATTTGTTGTAGAACTTAAATTAAAACTTCGCTCGCTATTTCACTATGAACAAATTGCTCGAGAAAATTCAGATATTAAATGAATGAAAGTTCCATCGTTCAGTTTAACTGTAACCAAATACCTCAGGTTTCAACTTTCTGGGTACTTTTTGTGAACGATTAAAATTAATTGCAGACGGTTTTTAGGCCGCTTGTCAACCAACGTAATGACAATATTGTTTATACAAATTCATTCTGAAACCAATATTTTTCTGTCAACCACAGTGATTTGATAGAGAGAAAAGAGAGGATTCATAAGTTATTTATCGGCTTGAGGTAGTGACCGACGTGTTTGCTTAAAAATACTGCCCAGCCGGAAAACGAGGTATATTTATGAAAAATGACAACGAAAGTTGGGATGTACTCGGCGACTCACGAAAGCGTTACCGTAGCCCGTGGGCAGAGATAGGAAAATACTGACCGGGTAAAGAACCAATCAGATTGCAAGATTCGTTACCGTGCCCTCTAAAAAAACAATAAATGATACATATTTCATATATCTAAAATCTAAAGAAAGGACTATTAGAGCAAGGTAAAGGGATCAAATAACGTGTTACTGCCGGAGGTCGCAAACTATGCAAACCTACCGTCACTGTTTCATGCAAATAAAGCACATCACATGTGCAAATGCTTATGTAGGCTTTTTCACTGCCGGCTATATAGAACTTGAAAAATTGAGCAAGCTCTGCGGCGCGTGACTTGGTTTCTGTCACTAGATTTGGATACCATTAATGTGGGTTAGTAATTATGAGCGCAGCACCCAATCTGACAATTCTTTTGTGACTCAAATTCTTCAGCGGATAGCCGCGAGGCAGGACCTATGTAAGCTATATTTGAACTCATTGGCGCGTGCCGTTTTTGTAGAAATTCAACTTGACGTGAACATGGGTAATGAACCTAATTAAGCGCCTAGTAATTTTGAAGTCACTGGAATATTTATCAATTGTACGGAAATTCATCAATTGTACGGCGGCGAGAACCTCATTGGGTATTGTAGAGCGTTTTCTGCGGCCCCAAATTGACCAGCAAAGAATGTTTATTACTTCTCTGTCATCGTCTCGCAGCATATCGAAATTTGGAGGGCACTGCAAACCCAGCAACTAAGTAAGGCCATGATTTGAGAAATGTTTCGTTAAAAACTCGAAGAAGGACTCGTATTTAAATGTGGTGAAAATTTGTCAGGATCACCATCTTCGATCCTTCACAAGCAGTTCTTCAGTTCTTCTTTACAGTCAGTAAAGCACCCAATATGCCAATACTGTTAGGGTTTAAATTCCTCGCAGTAGGGTTGCGGTGAGACAGGTCAGGACCTATGTAAGCTTTTTATTTTGCTATTTTAAACCTGGCAGGTGCCGTTTGTCTTGAAAGTCAACTTGACGTGAATATGGGTAATGGACCTAATTTGATGATCATCATCCTCACAATAACTAACGCCATCTGATCGGTTGATTGTATTTGAACTTCGTCTAAGTAAGTATTAATATGTCAGTCTAATTCATTAAACCGTATTTGCGACAGCTCTTATTAAGTCAGTGTGTACATTCCCAGCGTGAACTTCGAATTTGTGTAGATTCGTTATGCTTACATTTGATTATCTTATATCTAACAGTCTGTTTTGCTGGGCCGATGTGCCAGTGTGAAGGAAGAATCTACATAGTTCAGGTTACGCACCGCTTACTTCTATTCTTAACTAAAAACTGAATAAAATTGCATTTCATATTGAGTTCATAAACAAAATTACACGGCTACACATTGGCAAAGAACAATTATAAGACACAGTGATCTAATCGATGAAATAGATGAAATTTCTCCAGTTCAGATCGATGCCGGAGCGGCAGATATTCACTCAACTATTATAACAAGTTGATCAGTTCTCAAAAGGAAGTGTTTCTTAGTTCAGTAGTTATCACGTAAATATTGTTCAGGAAAGCCTCGTTATTCTGTCCAATTCATGTAATTGAGTCTAAGTTTCTATTCTTTCTCTCAGGATGCTACGTTAAGTTCCGTCAGACTCCCTCCGGGATTCCTTGATACATTTCTGCAAGAGGGAGATACAATTCGTACCAGTCATATTTAAAAGAACACTAGATAGGGAGGGGGAGGTAGGAACCACTTTGCGCGGGTTCACTATCGCTTTCTAGTTAATGTTTCATTGCCGTGAAATGGGAAAATTATCCGATCTTAAAATCCCAAAGTAGATGCACCGGTTAACTGAGCCGGATGACAATGGTTCTAATGTCTTTACATTTCAGTACCAATTAAATATGAACAATTTGTCTCACAACAGCGTATACGTAAGGCATTATCCGCGCTTCAACATTAATAAAAAGTGGCATATTTAACTTAACATGTTTGATCACCATCCATACATCATGGCAAGGATGGCTGTTTCCTCTAGACATTCATAACAGTAACGTGTTCCACACAACAGTAACATGTTCCTTACCGTGATATATTTCCCATCCTTCCCGTACGCCTTCTTGAACTGGAAAAGGTAACCTCTCAATAGAACCAAAAATAGATCGCAAAAAATACAAGTAAGAACGCCTGATCCAAAAGCTCAGGACTATCACGCAAATCGATAGAAAAATAACCATTCCGATAGCCATATCGCTTTGATCCAACACAGAAAGGACTATTAGAGCAAGGCAAATGGAACAAATAACGTGTGTCAATGCTTATAATGGGAATTTTTACCGCCGGAGGTCGCGACCTACAAACTGTCACTATTTTATGAACCACATTGCATGTGCAAATGCTTACGTAGGCTTTTTCCGGCTGCCGGCTCTAAGAACTTGAAAAAGTACAACAACTCTGCGGCGCGTGGCTTGGTTTCTGTCACTGGACTTGGACAATATTGATGTGGGTCAGTAAACCCAGCAATTAATCTGCTAATACTTTTGTGATTCAAATTCCTCGCCAGAGGGTTGTGAAGCCGCAGTTGAGGACCAATTAATGTAAGCTACTTAAGGTCCTCAACTGCGGCTTCAATTATTATTAAAGTATAATATTATTATACTTTAATAATACTTGAAGTATAATATTATTACGGAATTTGATAACTACTGAACTAAGAAACACTTCCTTTTGAGAACTGTTCAACTTGTTATAATAGTTGAGTGAATATCTGCCGCTCCGGCATCGATCTGAACTGGAGAAATTTCATCTATTTCATCGATTAGATCACTGTGTCTTATAATTGTTCTTTGCCAATGTGTAGCCGTGTAATTTTGTTTATGAACTCAACATGAAATGCAATTTTATTCAGTTTTTAGTTAAGAATAGAAGTAAGCGGTGCGTAACCTGAACTATGTAGATTCTTCCTTCACACTGGCACATCGGCCCAGCAAAACAGACTGTTAGATATAAGATAATCAAATGTAGGCATAACGAATCTACACAAATTCGAAGTTCACGCTGGGAATGTACACACTGACCTAATATAAGAGCTGTCGCAAATACGGTTTAATGAATTAGACTGACATATTAATACTTACTTAGACGAAGTTCAAATACAATCAACCGATCAGATGGCGTTAGTTATTGTGAGGATGATGATCATCAAATTAGGTCCATTACCCATATTCACGTCAAGTTGACTTTCAAGACAAACGGCACGTGCCAGTTTTAAAATAGCAAAATAAAAAGCTTACATAGGTCCCGACCTGTCTCACCGCAACCCTACGGCGAGGAATTTAAACCCTAACAGTATTGGCATATTGGGTGCTTTACTGACTGTAAAGAAGAACTGAAGAACTGCTTGTGAAGGATCGAAGATGGTGATCCTGACAAATTTTCACCACATTTAAATACGAGTCCTTCTTCGAGTTTTTAACGAAACATTTCTCAAATCATGGCCTTACTTAGTTGCTGGGTTTGCAGTGCCCTCCAAATTTCGATATGCTGCGAGACGATGACATAGAAGTAATAAACATTCTTTGCTGGTCAATTTGGGGCCGCAGAAAACGCTCTACAATACCCAATGAGGTTCTCGCCGCCGTACAATTGATGAATTTCCGTACAATTGATAAATATTCCAGTGACTTCAAAATTACTGGGCGCTTAATTAGGTTCATTACCCATGTTCACGTCAAGTTGAATTTCTACAAAAAACGGCACGCGCCAATGAGTTCAAATATAGCTTACATAGGTCCTGCCTCGCGGCTATCCGGTGAAGAATTTGAGTCACAAAAGAATTGTCAGATTGGGTGCTGCGCTCATAATTACTAACCCACATTAATGGTATCCAAATCTAGTGACAGAAACCAAGTCACGCGCCGCAGAGCTTGCTCAATTTTTCAAGTTCTATATAGCCGGCAGTGAAAAAGCCTACATAAGCATTTGCACATGTGATGTGCTTTATTTGCATGAAACAGTGACGGTAGGTTTGCATAGTTTGCGACCTCCGGCAGTAACACGTTATTTGTTCCATTTGCCTAATAGTCCTTTCTGTGTTGGATCAAAGCGAGATGGCTATCGGAATGGTCATTTTTCTATCGATTTGCGTGATAGTCCTGAGCTTTTGGATCAGGCGTTCTTACTTGTATTTTTCGCGATCTATTTTTGGTTCTATTGAGAGGTTACCTTTTCCAGTTCAAGAAGGCCTACGGGAAGGATGGGAAATATATCAGGGTAAGGAACATGTTACTGTTGTGAGGAACATGTTACTGTTGTGAGGGACATATTACTGTTGTGAATGTCAAGAGAAAATTGCCATCCTTGCCATGATTTATGGATGGTGATTAAACATGTTAAGTGAAATAGGTCACTTTTTATAAATGTTGAAGCGCGGATAATACCTTACGTATACGCTGCTGTGAGACAAATTGTTCATATTTAATTGGTACTAAAATGTAAAGACATTAAAACCATTGTCATCCGGCTCAGTTAACCGGTGCATCTACTTTGGAATTTTGAGATCGAATAATTTTCCCATTTCACGGCAATGAAACATTAACTAAATAGCGATAGTGAACCCGCGCAAAGTAGTTCTTCCCCCTTCCTACCCAGTGTTCTTTTAAATATGACGGGTACCAATTGTATCTCCCTGTTACAGATATGTATCAAGGAATCCCGGAGGAAGTCTGACGGAACTTTACGTAGCATCGTGAAAGAAAGAATAGAAACTGAAACTCAATTACATTGGACAGAATAACGAGGATTTCCTGAACAATGTTTACGTGATAACTACTGAACTAAAAAACACTTCCTCTTGAGAACTGCTACTGGTTATCACAGTTGAATGAATATCTGCCGCTCCGACATCGATCTGAACTGGAGAAATTTCATCTATTTCATCGATTAGATCAGTGTCTTATAATTGTTCTTTGCCAATGCGTAGCTGTGTAATGTTGTTTATGAACTCAACAGGAAATGCAATTTTTAGTCAGTTTTTGGTTAAGAATAGACGTTGACGGTGCGTAATCTGAATTATGCAGATTCTTCCTTCACGCTGGTACATCGCCGCCCAGCAAAACAGACTGTTAGGTTTAAGATAATCAAATATAAGCATAATGAGTTTACATAAATTAATAAGAGCTTTCGCAAATACGGTTAAGTGAATTAGACTGACTTACACTAATCACTTAGACGAAGTTCAAAAACAACCAACCGAAAAAAGGTCCCAACCTGTCTCACCGCAACCCTCCGGCGAGGAATTTAAACTCTGAAAGTATTGGCAAATTGGGTGCTTTACTGATTGTAAAGAAGAACTGAAGAACTGCTGGTGAAGAATCGAAGATGGCGATCCTGAAAGATTTTCATCATATTTCAATACGGGCCCTTCTTCAAATTTTTAACGAAAACGTTTCTCAAATCATGACATTATCAAGTTGCTTCCATGAGTTTACACAACTTGAAGTTAACACTGAGAATGTACACACTGACTTAATACGAGCTTTCGCAAATACGGTTTATTGAATTAGACTGACTTACACTATTTACTTGGACGAAGTTCAAATACAATCAACTGATCAGATAGCGATAGTTATTGTAAGGATGATCAAATTAGGTCCATTACCCACAATCATGTCAAGTTGACTTTCGACAAAAACGGCATGCACGTGCCAGTTTAAATAGCTTAAGTAAAAAGCTTACATAGGTCCAGACCTGTCTCACCGCAGCCCTCCGACGAGAGAAATTTAAACCCTAAAAGTAATGGCAGATTGAGTGCCGGGTTTACTGACTGTAAATTGACCCACATTGTTCTAGACGGTTGTTCAAGTTCCTCATAATGGCCAGCAGTAGAAATACCTACATAAGCATTTGCACACGTTAGTTGTTCCATTTGCCTTGCTTTAGCGGTCCTTTCTGTGTTGGATCAAAGCGAGATGGCTATCGGAATGGTTTTTTTTCTATCAGTTTGCGTGACATTCCTGAGCTTTTGGATCAAGCGTTCTTACTTGAATTTTTTGTGATCTATTTTTGATTCTATTGAGGAGTTACCTTTTCCGGTTCAAGAAGGCGTGCGGGAAGGATGGGAAATATATCAGGGTAAGGAACATTTTACTGTTGTGAGGAACATATCACTGTTGTGAATGTGGAGAGAAAACAGCCATCCGGGCCATGATGAATGGACTGCGATTAATGTTGAAGTGTGGATTATGCCTTACGTATACCCTGCTGTGAGACAAATTGTACATATTTAATTGGTACTGAAATGCAGACATTAAAACCGTTGTCATTCGGCTTCGTTAACCGATGCATTTACTTTGGAATTTCAAGACCGGGTAATTTACCCATTTAACCACTTAAACATAGTGGTGAATCCGCGGAAAGTAGTTCCTACTTCTCCCTCCCTATCCAGTGTTCTTTTAAATATGACTGGGTGAATTGTATCTCTCTCTTGTAGATAAGTATCGAGGAATCCCGGATGAAATCTGACAGAACTTAACGTAGCATCGTGAAAGAAAGAAGAGAACTGAACCCAATTATACTGGACAGAATAACGAAGCTTTCTTACACAATTTTTACGAGATATCAACTACTGAACTAACAACTTCCTCTTGAGAAATGCCACTGTTATCAATGTTAAGTCAATATCTTCCGCCCATCAATCCGGAACTGGAGAAATTTTATCTATTTCATCGATCCGATCAGAGTCACACTTGTTCCTTGCCAGTGCGTAGCGGTGTAAAGTTGTTCCTACCTTGGTTCCTTTTTTGCTAAGTTTATCAAGCGATATGCTACAAGAAAACTTCTTTTATCTAAGTTTTTGGAAATCATGAATTTCTTATTTTGATTATCGTCTTTTACGAAAGACCCAAAGCCGATTTTTTTTCCTAATAGAACACTATTAATCAAGTTCCTTTGCATTTTTTATCATGTCATTTTTCTTATGAGATCAAGAACTGTTTTCCTTTTTCACTCGTAAACTACAAAAGTTCTCAAAAAGCATCGGCTGTAAGGAAAATAAAATTGTAATTCAATGTGTGTAGACACCTTTAATAGGAAGATCTCCTATAACATTTCGACTGGTCGTGAATTATGAATCAGGCACGAGCACCCCTGGGGATACGGTCCAACGAAAAATATCGCATTAGTATCCTTCTTTTTTCCTCTATATTTGCTTTTTAAGTTAACTTATATTAGAAATTTTATGACTCTTTGATAGGCACCGTTACAACACACTACGGTGCTATGTTCCATGTAAAAAGTACCAAATTTCAGTTGTTTACGGACTTCCGTGATGACTGTTCGAAGTGCGATCGGGCCACTACATCAGGCGAGAGAATGATATGAGCCCGCGATACCATGTACTTAAATTTCAAAATAATTCCAAGATGGAGGCGAAGAATTGTCATGAAAGGATACTTTCCCGGGTATTTCACGTATCTCTAACAACCGGGATTGTCCTTATTCTAGTGCTTAAAGATACAGGTAACCAAGGTTGATGCTCTCTATAACTAGCGTAGACATTTCCTCACGTATTTTGGTGTATTATGTAAATTTGCCGTCATATTTTTTTCAGAACTTAGAAGAGCTTGTTTTGATGGGAACTGGTTGTATGTCGCAGCGTTCATGTCGCTTTGTTTCATCGGTTTCATTTTCTACTTTGTTGCAAGCTGCATGGATCCTGGTTTTGCTGAAATAAGTGACGAAAAAAGTATAATGGTTTCTTTTGAGGTGAGATCTCGCTATGTACGTGCTCAATCAAGACAAAATACATAGGAATCGAAAGTAAACACAGGCAGTTCTATCGCTATTGAATACACAAATCTTTATTCGCTAATTGCTCGAATTGTATAATTATTAATTAGTATTTCCCTGTTGTTAAGTAGGTACGGTCTGTCTTTCATCGAGTGGATGAGTCTAACTTCGTGATTGGAAACTAATTGCGGAAAAAATCACTATCGGATGAGAAAACGTCAACATAAATACTTACATTTACCAAACTAAATCATTGGGAAGAAAAGTATGAAATTAGAAACCGACATAATGAATATAGATGTTATTTTCAACAAGTCGTTGATAGTTGAAACTTCTTGGAAATCTCATTAAATAAACGTTTTCTCTATGATTACGCCGAATGTTTTCTTGTAGGAAGATACAATATATATCCTGTATCTCTGTTCATCCCCAAATGGCCTTACACTGTTCGCAAGATTGCCCCTTTTCAGCTATCCAATGAATGCATGCTTCTATTTAGTACAAGGCTTACACTTCCGAAGTTATTTTACACAACATCATAATTAAACAAAATGGAACTAAAATGAGATCAATCAATCAAATGTTTGATATTTCATCGTGTATGTTGTGGTTCAATTTTATTCGTAGTTCAAATTTTATTTTTCTTTGTTTTAAACTCATTATCATACATTACAATACCCAAAAACAAAAGAAAAGAAAATTTGAACTAGGGGTAAAATTGAACTACAACATGTACAAGAAGGTTCTTCTATTTTTGTTTTGTTTTTAGAAGAAGTGCATGATAGTCAATAAAGAGAATTACTTATGAGATCTTGGTATTGAAAGGGATAAAAAGTAATTTGCTCTTAAGAAAGATGTTTTTTTGCAAGACGAAAAAAACTTCTTTCTTAATTCTTCACCAAGCTCAAAACTTACTATCTGTACTATTTCCATCTAATTTGCCCTCGAGGTGTCTGGATCTCTTTAGAGTTTTGACTTTGTTAAGTAGTTGTTGCAAATGCTGTTTATGATTAATGATGATGTTGATGATGTTTGTGATTGTGATGTGACATTAGAACTTCATCATTTAACTCGGAATTAAGAAACACCTCTTTAGGAGGCTTATTAGCCACATAGAGCAGACTACACATGTTTGATTGTTCTTGAGTCTGTGTGTTTTTGTTAAATTCATCCCACCATTATTTCTCTACAATTGAATATTGTTGATTTACCATTGATATTTTCTTGTAATCACTTTGTCCATGCATGTTTGTTTCACTTGATTCTGTTTCAGATTTACACAATTTCATCAGGACTCTTTCAATTTTGTGGCTACTGTCTCCTTAAGGAGGCGAAGCCACATATGTTGTGGAGATCAGTGAATGAAAAAGTGTAACAATAGTAATAATGTACATGAAAAAATTACATGTATTTGATTGGTTGAAAATGAGTACATTCTCATGTAACACAAGTGCAAAATTGTAACATGAGTGTAAATTACAAATAGCTTGCAAACACTTTCAAATTTTGTTTATCTTGACTCTCCATGATGTTTTTTCATGTACATTGTTATCAAGTAATAACATGATTCCTGTTGCATTTTGGTGTCTTAAGAACTTGTAAATTTTTGAAAGACTACAAATTACACTTGCATTAATTGGGCTAGTGCAATTTTGTTGTCTTTGGAAAATTTTGTTGTGCTCATTAATACAAGATTGCACTCACAATCATGTTATTACCTAGAAGTATACAAATGTGATCCCAACTCAGTTTTGACCCAATGTTTACTGGAGCTACTTATTGTTAGTTTTGAAGTTTCTTAGTAGTTCCACATGTGCACTAAACACACAGTTGAGTTCTCTCCTTTTGCGATTTCTGGCATAAAGCCACAAGCACATTATGTGACCCTATGGAAGACAGCAAGGGACAATAATTAAAAACATGTCACAATTATTTCTGAATTGCGCACTATTTAAAACAAAAGTTTTCCTTGCAGAATAATCTTGATAGATGTGATTAATCACATCTATCAAGATATTTCCAATATTGGCACACCATGAAACTTAGAGGAAAAGTTTTTTCTTTGAAGATAGAGCATTTTACTGTTTAAATCAGCAAATTATGCAGATCTGAAGATTTAATCATTTTAGTTCTTGCTGTGACACTACAAAAGATGATCAACATTTTAAACTAATTCCACAGTGGCATCCACCAACACAAAGCTTTGTGTTCAGCAGATAGCTTCCATGTTTTGGATCATACCTCTACCAGTTTTCAACTCAAGATAAAAGAGGCTATTCATATTCAAAGAGAAAAACCATCCTTGAATTAACAATTACATCATGTAAATCTGAAACTATCCTTTTAATTCTCACACTTTCATGCTTTACCTCTTTTCTTGTTGTCATTATTTATCATAATTAGCATTTTTCTACTTACTATATAATTCAACTTCCAATGCTAAATGTACATTAATTAACTGAAGATGACAGAAGTTTCTGTCAAAACATGTATTACAGACTTAAAAAGGTTTTTTGCTCTCTTTAAATTCTTGACTTGCCTGCTAATATCAAGACCCTTTGGAAACACATAATTTAAATCAAAACTTTTCCTTGCAGAAATATCTCAATAGATGTGATCTGCCCATCAGAGAAACTTTCAAGAAAAATTGTCTCCATTGAAAAAAAAGCATTTTACCATTTGAATCAGCAACTTATGTCAAAAATAGCCACTAAATTTGTTAAGTGAACAAGCTGCAAAATACAATTCCTAGGGTTATTCAACAGAATAATGGAAAGTAAGAACAGTGGATGGCTGGATGGCAGAATATCTTAAGACTCAGAATGACAGAATATACTAAATTGCTGATGCTGTTTCTTTATGAAACAAAAGTTATAAAAAATGGAATTGGAATAAAATGAGAAATTATCTTTAATTAGCAGGCAAAATTAAAAGAAGCATACTTAGGTAGTCATTCTTGGAGCCCAGAGGATATGGGAACCATGAGGCTTTCGAGTTAGCCCCTCTAAATTATTACTATAATTATTACAATTGTAATCAGTATCATTATTTTTATTATTATTATTTGTTACCATTTAAGTATTGCTTGAATGTCTGTTAGACAATATATTCTTGAATGATCTTACTCTTGTGGGACAGGGTACTCATAAATATGTGGGATGTGGCAGGTTTACTCTTTTGCATGTGAGACAAATATTCTGCAACACAACCTGACATTGTGATACAACCTCTAGTTCTTTTCAATGTCATAAACATTGTGCTACATCAGTAACCACATGCAGTCTTTGACTCTCTATTTTTTTCTAAGAGAGGCACTCAATGAATCTGGAATTTTACCATTTGATTGGTCCTTGTACTAAGGATCCATTTTGATGATGATGATTGGAGTCAAGGATGCTCTTGCATTGATAACAATGGAGTTTATACTGTTACCCAATGACTCTTGGATACACCATGTTTAATAGTTTTACAATTTATCACTTAGAAAGCAGAACATGAATCAGAGAGCCAGTCAGATGGAGAAGAAGGCAATGAAGAATCCTGTAAAATTTTAGCCACTCCTTCCTTTGGTGGTGCTAGATTGCGGCGCTGTGGATACTGTGCCATATTACAGCCACTGCGAGCCAAACACTGTGAGGACTGTGGCCGTTGTGTGCGGAGATATGATCATCACTGTCCCTGGCTTGGAAATTGTGTAGGGGAAAGAAATCACAGATTTTTTTGGTGCTTTCTTTTGACTCAATGTGTTCTAATTGCATGGGCCACTGAAATAACCTGGTAAGAATTACTACTTTTTATTCTTTTCAAAATGACTGGCTTAAAATGACTATAAACGTGGCAGTCACTATGATTATAAGCCAGCGGTGGTTGAGCTTCACCATTTATCTTTAGGGTTTTCTATAAGGTATTCAAACAAGTTTTCACAATTTGTTGGAGAAGAAGTATGATGGATAAAGTCTGAAGGAAATGAAAAGTAAAAGACATAGTTTGGAGTGGTTTAAGACAAATAGAGTCAGACATAGTAAAATCACCTGGTTGGGCTTTTTATGATTGTATAAATAGATAACAGATGCACTAAAAACTCTTGATTGTTTTTCTTCCTAGGTATGCTTTTATGTACAAGAAAGAGTGGTTGGCCTGGTTCCTTGCAAATGGTTTCTTGATTTTTGCAATGTTTGTGCTGGGTCTTACTTTCATTGTAGTTTTTCTTTTATTCTGCTGCCATTCCTATTTGATGGTGACTGCTCAGACAACCTGGGAGTATATGTCTCGCTCAAGAATTTCATACCTGAAGACCCTCAGTGAAGACGTGAATCCATTTGATCAAGGAGTATTTTGTAACGTGTACAGCTTCTTGTGTAGATGCCGAGTGCAGAAATGGGAAGTACTTCTGCGACAGAGAGATCGCTGGGCTTAGAGTCTAATTAATGTCAAAAATAAATTTTTTCAATTTACGCTAATCTAAATTAGGAATTTTTATTTTTGCCAGCTTTATTTTTACCCATTATTTTCCTTCCTTTCTAATTCCACATCATTATAGGCCACATGTAGAAGTTGTACATATAATTTTAAAACAGCCCTCAAAGGTGCAACCATGGTTTCCATAGCTAGCAGAAGACAATTTGCATCTAAATTTGTGGCTATAGGTGTTTATGTGATAATGTGTTTGGTTGTGAAATACTGTGCCAAGCTGCAACATTTTCACTTCTAAATGTTTATGGCCTTAAGGTGAACTGTGACAAACATCTACATAGAGGATTGCATAATTTGGCACAAAATTTTCTTTTTGGTGTTTCCCCTCTTTTTGCTTTTTTTTTTTTTTCCTGGTTTTTCAAACTTTACTTCTGGCAATCACTTCGTGATTTTAGCTTTTCAAATGGTATTTTTAGAAATTTGATTTGGAATCCCTGAAGTGATACTCATGTATACCCTTACTAATACTAACAGAAGTGATCAAAATGCATCTTAGTAATTTTAATATGATATCTAGTGAAGAAGTGATTGTAATGAACAGACTTATCAGAAAGAGGGGCTCATATTCATTTGTAAGAACACCAAATCCTCTAATCAATCTCTGTCACTAAAAAGTGTATAGTCACTTCAAGAAAGAATTAAGAATTCATTACTGGGACTTGGATGTTAACATTTTGCCATATCTGTCCACAACCATAAAGCTATAATTAAGATAGAGTTTATTTTCGTACACCAATATTTCGCTCTATTCATGTTTTCGCTTTATTATTATGATATTCACTTGCGACAATATTTGATTTCTTTAATAGACAGTTTCAGAAAATATGCAGTGTCAGAAAAATTTTCTATGTCATCTATGTTACACTGAAGGTTTTGTCCAAAGATGTTCATTTGTATGATAAAGTCCCATAGGTTTATATTCACAGGTATTTTCTGTACTGCTCATTTTTATTGAGAGTGATACATGTATCTGTTATTAGAGGGTTGTAAGAGCTCAACACTTTTGTAGATTGCTCATGAAATGACGGTTATATCAGAGCAAAGAGTTACTTTGAAATTGACTTACCTCACCCTTTCACTTCTAGTAGTGACCAAAAAGGAATTTCTCCTCATAATATTTATATATTATCATGCAGAAAGGTGATAAGAAAAAAGAGAAATATCGAGTAGGGGAGATTGTTTGAATAAAAACCAAATTCTTGCAGCTAAAATTTTTTAACTCAGATTGTGTGAAGAATTGATATTCAGATTATTGGAGATTAAGGGTCAGGTGCTAGCAAAGTCAAGATTCAGTTAAACCTTCAACTTTCACAAGTAATTTTCATATGAATATCCAGTTGAAGAGTGAAAAGAATGTTATTGCTTGTTGATATAACACTTAATTCTCCTGACGTACTTGTGGGGAAATGATCAGCTTCTAAAAGGGAGAACTACCAAAGATTAGATCTTTAGATGTTAAGGGTTAATTATGTTGCTAAGCAACAGTATGAGACATTGATAGTGTGTGACCAGTTATTTCTCTTTTGGGAAATGAAGGCTCAATATTAAATGGTTCTTACTAGAAAGTTCGGCTGTGGATGGCTGTTATAAGTTATTGACACGAAAACGGGTGAAACAAATGTCTCAAAATTAATTGTACCTAGGAATATGTTGCTTATTAGTGAAACAAGTTAATATTGCGAATGATAGTCCTAATAATATATGCCATGAACAATGCTTGTTGACTATGTGTGTTGTGCAACCTTTACATCAAAGTTCCGTTTCCTAGTGAACCTGATCACTAAATTTTTTAAGGGTGTTTTAAGGTGGTTAGCTCTCAAGGTTTTTTTCGGTGTTTTATCATCTGTTAATTGCTTGATCTTGCTGCATGAAACATCGCCCTCGCCGGGCATCAAGTGTCTGCTTCGCGCGCAGGCTACATGTGCCTGATTGTAACTTCTGCTGAGGTGGCTCATCTAGAAGAGCGCTATACTGATTTATAAGAGGTTGAGGGCTTTTTCGGCCGTTTTGTAGGCCCCGTCTCCTGTGTCTTCCCTATTGTGGTTAGCAAATGACGTCAAAGAATCCACACGCTGTTCTAGAGGAGAGGGACCCAAAAATTCCCGGTATGATGAAAGTTTTAAATCAACCCTTACCTATTTCAGTGTAAAATATCTATGCCAGGACTGCTTACACTTCTTTTGAGAAAATTTTTTCCAGGTGTCCTTCGATGATTTTTTTTCTTTTGGTGCGATGCATCAAAGCGTAGCAGCGCTACAGTCACCGCCCACTCTTACACTGTTAATTTTTCGGCGCCCGAAAAAAAAAAAGAACGTCCCATCGCAGGTTGTGCTGTAGCTGGTTAGCAGATGCCTTCCCAGTCAAAGAAGACCAGTTATCCATTCAGCACCTTTGTGTAACACCCATAGAGCTGAAAAAACACGAGAGCCCTCTCAATTCTGAGATCAAATGTTTTGGCACAACCCATCAGCCGGTTCATTCAGCGCAAATCCTCTGTAGCAGACGGTATCGTTCCTTCGGTTAGGCTTTGCTTTGAACTGTTCGTGTCTCGACGCCGACCATCAGCCGATATTTTCAGGGAATTTACGCCGTCAGTCTACAAAACGGCAATATGAAATAATCACATTTGCGTAATCTGAGAACGGAAGTACTGAACACAAATTATTCTCTTTGGAACTCAACGCCCTTTCCACTTGTCACGCTAAATGAAGCCAAATAGTCATTTGAACAAAGGCAGGGGAATACACGCGAATGAAGCTTTCCGTTTTCGTGACTGGTCAAAAATCAATACAGCTGCGTGGGAGGCCTTTCAAACTTTGTTGTACAGTGGATTTCGCAACTAGCATAGCTTTCTTCGTTTACGCTCTTGAAGTGTAGATTGAAAAAAGGTAGCTCATGTCCCTAGGTAACTTTTTCTAGGGGAGACCTGAGTTTAACCACACGGCTATAACATTGCTACAGTCACAGGGATTTTCAGAACTTTCCTGGCAAAGCTAACAATAACCTCCATATAAAAAGGTGCTACCCAGCCGGCTAATCAGAGTTAAACGACAACCACTGAGGAAAATATTAAATCTCCAACTTTAATGCCGAATTATTTTAAACTGTCGAAAAGATTATTTCACGGTAAGCATCTGTGGGGGTTTTAACTAGTGGTAGAAGATGCTTAAGTAGTCTCGAATCGAAGCCGGGTTACTCCGAACCGAAAACCATCGCTTAACTACTACGTTGCTAAGCTATCATCCAACCACGTTCCCTGAGTGGACAGAATATAGAACGCGAAATTTTTTGAACGCGAGCGTCAGACTCTTTCCATTTCGCTTTAATTTAAAAAATTTTCCACTTCGATGACCATTTTTTGTCTTTTCCATTTTTAGGAGTTTCACAATCGGTGCCCTAACCAAGTCTCAACATGTTGACGAAACTAGCTTTAGTTGTAGGCCGTAAACACTCCTGTCACTCCTGGATGAGCCCTGTCCTTCGATAAACCAACCGCGTCCAAAGAACTTCAACTTTCCTAATAGTCACCAAAGCTAGCCCTTCTGCCTCGATTGAAAGCAGTAAGGATGAAAGAAAATCAATGTATAATATTTGTCTTTTAATAAGTTTATAACAAATCTCCCTCCTGTCTCACGCTGTAGGTATATTCTGCCGTTCTTCCGAGTCCAGTCCGTACTCGGAGCTTGAAATTATTCGACTCTAACAGCGGCTCGTTATCAAGTTTAACTCCCCCCACCCACTCCTCCCCGCTTCTGGCCCTCTCTCTCCGTGTCCTTCAATAGAGCGCGCCACCTGAAAACATGTTATAAATGGTCAATGTTTACGACGTTTACAAATAAATTTGGGCCGTACTGTTGTTGCAGGCGGCCGCACTGGGCTTGAGTCTGACTGTGACCAGTGAAGCATATAGGCTAATCAAGAGCGAGCCCAATCACCCCCCTCGGGTCATTGTGGTTGCACTGTGGTTATTCATCGTTCAACTGGACGTCAATTCCAATTTGATGATACATAAACTTACGGTGCAGCCGTAACGATAACCAGAGAACAAACTGGGTCAGACTAAATCGAGTAAGATTTACCACATGGAAGCTCCTGGAGAGAGGTTGGCAATTTCGTTCATTTAATAACATACGTCGTTTATTATTTTCGTTTCGAGCTTAGCTACATCGATACCGCGGCATCCGTTTAATTTGAGTTGTCTTGGAGGGCAGGGTCAGAGGTTTCTTTCATCCAAGTCGAGATACCCTGTCTGTGATTTTACTTCCAAACTTGCGCTTGTCTAAAGTAAGATCAATTTTCAATCAATCTCCTCGGAGTTAGGCATCTTAATTACTTATTGTCTGACTATTTCTTTTTTTGCGTTGATCTGCATTCCTTGTGTTCATGAATACAAAAATACGCCAGTATTTAAATTTGCAGTCCCCAGGGCACTAAGAATTAAAAACAATACCGGCTTAAATGATTAATATATGGAGCTTCTTTAAACTCTTTCTACCTGATACATCCACTGACTATGAAGGAAAGCTTCTTAAAACACTTCTGATTAGTTAATTTTAGGATTATATTAAACATATCTACGAAAGTATAACATATCTCCCATAATTTTCTTACAAAAGTATGATACGTGCAATTTCAACCGGAACTGTAAAAAATTCCAAATCTTTCTGTCATCAACTTGTAAAGTAAATCCGGGTAACTAGGTCTCGAGAGTTTACGAAAGCCAAACGAAGTCAATTAAATATAGCTTCACAATAAAAAGCGTTCTCTTAGGCGGCAAATAGCCAGGACACTTTGCCATCGAATAGTATCTAAGGAAAAAACTTGATGCACTTTTGTTCAATCACGCTACTCCCAGCGTAATAGACTCTGTGTGACAAGCATAAGTTAAACAGAGACCGTTTGCTAACTTCAGAAGTCCGGGGCAATCCTATTTCCGTTGCATCTCAGACGTGCAAGCTCGCTGACTGAAAGTGAGGTTAGGTTTCCTAGAAGCTAGCTGCTTGAAAGTGCGAAACATCAGTTTCTATGCTATCAAAACAGCATAATATCTATTTATCTATTTCTAGCCTTCTCGAAGCCCTAAGTCAGTGTTTGTAAGCTTTACATTACGAGAACCAGTGTATAAATTTGTTCCAATCCCATTTGATTAGGAAAAGATGCAAAAATGTGCAGTATTCAAGAAGAGTGCTTCCCTTTTTTCTGCTATTACCAAGGTCACTAGAGTGTTTTTTTTTTTTTATTTTTGCTTCAAAACTAAAATTGAAATGAAATAAAGTAAAAGAAAAGAAAGAACTCATAATATGTCTCGTTACTATAAGAAAGAGAACAAAAAATAGCTTCTCGAACTTCTCATCATTCGAAGAGGCACTTAAGAGTCATCTGACTAAACGGTAGCCCTCGGATCGCATGAGTTGAGCTGAAATTCGTAAAATGCCGTATAAAACTGTACTCACAGACAACCAATAAGCAATATCCTCAACTATCAAAAGCAATCCATTTTACTGTTGGTATTAAAAAAAATATATTGACGGTTGGTGATAAAAACGGCCTATATAAAATTCCTGCTACTTGATCTAAAAATGATAAGCACTCTCTACCAGTTGAGGTATGTATGCAAAAGTGCCACTCAAGTATTAAGATATACGATGATAAGAGCATCATAAAACCATATTTATCTGTCGATGCCGTCATGAAATTTGAATCAAGAATATTCGAGAGCCCATTTGAGTCTCAACTGAAAACTTTTCCCTCTTTTATCTAATGGGCATTTTGCCACTAAACTTGATCCCATCGATCGAGGTTATGATGAGGCAACTTTAAAAACTAAGAGAAATGTAACTTGACATCTTAACCCGCATAGAGAGGGGTAGGGGTAAATAAATATAGCAGAACGACGTAAAATTTTATAGGACTGCTGCACTTATTCAGTGATTCGTCTTTCTCGGAAACTGCCATTCGATTACTGATCACTGATTTAAAAGCAGTTCACTGCAGATGCAGAAAAGAAGCAGATAAACATAACACTTGCGGTCAATTGTAAGGAAACAAGTGCCAAATTATCCCACGCAAAGCAAATAAACAATGAAAGATCCATGGCAATAATCGAGGCAATTTGGAAAAGCGCAAATAAATTTAACGCTCAGTTAAGCAACAACTCGCTAATTTACAAAAGACTTCCCACCCTTACTGACGTCATTGTAAATACGTAAGATCACGTTGCGCGTACGAGATTCATGCATAAGTAGTTAGTTAATCGAGTCACCGCAGCTTCGCTCGAGTTTGTTACGCCCGGTGGCATCACGTTTCAACAACAACAGTTACATCTTTTTTATGGTACTAGAATAATCAGTCAGATTGGATAAGTCACGAGGAAAGGTAAGCCCTGCCCCTACTAGGGGTAAGTGGCTCCAACGCGGGCTTTCAAGGTAAGAGATAGTTTCTTGGCGTGATTTTATTCATGCCATCACACTATCGGCTCTCTACATCACTGGTAACTACGCGATCAAAACAACGTCTATTGCGGATGCCGTCATCTCCTCAACTGCAATTACACAGCTGTACTTTAATCGGCTAGATGCTGAATTTTTCTTTTTTTTTGTTTTTACAGTCGAAACTGCTTGTAAACAAGTAACGAACCGATTAGATGTTAGTGTATTGATTCAGTTATTCGCAGAGCGAGCTATTCGATATCAAATCAGTCCGCAAATTAAGTCGCAGTGAGAAATTTCAAAACAGATTTTAACCACACTTTGGAGATTATTTATCTGTTATTGAAGTGTTTTTCTGAGTACTAGAAATTTTGGAAGACGCAATTGCGATCTTAAAGAAAACGAGTGAGAAAATCAGTTGGTCTCATCAATATTGTAAGGTCAAACGTGATAGAAAGTTTTGAAAATTGGCGAGCGAACCCGTGTTCAAACCTCGATATAAATTAAAAAACTGTTCAGACTAAAATCAGCAATAACGATTGCGCGTTTGTAATAAATGTTTACTCTTGTTAGGGAGTTGACAATTTTCAAATGTCATAGCTATTAATTCTGTCAAAAATGCCTGGGCGAAAGGAAATGCAAAGCACCGTCATATGAAGCATACGAGGTCTAGCACAAACTACATGGAATCTTTTGGTAATGTGGACTGTATCTACATGGAAGATGCTTTATTCCGCGAACTTTTGCCTCTAGTAAGGTCGGACAGAACGTGAATAACCTCGAGTCAAAGCTATTGGCGTTGTGTCATGGTTTGTATTGTATTTTGTCGGTTTCGTTCCATGTTTTGCGTGACCTCTTGCGGCGGGAGTTTTTAGTAGGTTCTTTGTCACGTTTACAGAAATGTTTGATTGTTAAGCTGAGCTTCAAGTTACCTCTGATTACCTTCTCTTGTTGATTATGGCCTAAGACGCAAGAAGGGAAAGATAAAGCGCGCTTTTGCAGAGTTTTACTCGTATGCTAATCGCTCAGTGGGTAATTACTAATTAGTTTGATTTGTTAATAACTTGTTTGACAATTGACTTCACATTTACCGACACCAACTGAATACTCTAATGAATTGTGCACCTTTCAGTGACGAATGGAAAAATGCCAAGGATGAAATTGTAGTTTTGGTCTTAAAACGGCCCCTCTTTTGGTCCCACACTCCTTCCATCAAACGAGTAAAAATCCTTGAGAGTCATTTTCTTTCCCATGAACAGGAAACGTTTTCAGAATAACACCATAGTGACGCTTCATATCGTTTATGATTTTGTCTTGCGGTAAGGGGGCCTTTCGCTTTCATTGAAATAATATAAGACGTAGGAAGTAAAATCAAAACTGACGAAATCCTGAAAAGATACTATTTTCATTTCCGTGGTTTAGCACTTATGTAGGAATCGGCATGGGTGTCGTGTGCAATATCACGGTAACCTAGAAACCAAAGATGTCGTGGATGAAATTGCCTTGCGAGTAGATTTAGAGAGCATTCGATATTCCCAGATGAATATTAGGAAAAAGGATGGAAAGCAATTTGAATTGTAATTGAAGAGATTGTGCCCACATGATGATTACTGATCGATCATACTCGAGAGTCTTGACCAGCACAGCCTGAGTGCAACTTGTTAAGAACTGTACTCACATTAGTATGAAAATGGAGATATTTCTTACTTCGTTTCGATCTGTCGGCCAACGATGAAACTGGCCAAGTGCACGGAATGATTGGAGTGACGCAAATATTGTTGGGGATGATGGTGATTGCAAATGGTGATGGTCTTGGCCTGACGTTGTAATGTTTTAATATTTCCTTGACTTCCTTAACATCGGTGACATTGAGACGAATTATTTGATTTATTTTTCGCATTTTAGCCTGATTTGTAATTTTAAACCTCTCCCGCCCTTTGATCTCAATAGTTCCAATACAACTCAGTAGATACAATATCTGCCCAGTGTTTGTCATACATTGCTTATAATTTTAGGCCTGAGGATTAAGGTTTAAATCTAACTTCTTCTCTGCTTCACAATTTATTTACGTTGAAGGCAAAAATTACTCGTGGCCTCTCCTGGAAGTGTAAGGGTGTTACGGAGTTCTTATGTACTTCTAATGATTTACATGCTTCTATACTTGTAGTCAGCGGGTGCTGTACGCTTACCAAAAAGATGATGACCAGGATGATGGCGAGCCTAGCCCGCTACCCATCCCAGGATCCTTCAGTGGCAGAGTACCACAAATCGTTGAGTTGGCAACGGTAGGCTGTTAGTAGAATAATCAATAGGTCGTGCAGGGGATTTAGTAATTCTGGCAGGAACGCAAACTATCGACTATTGTCTCGAATTACGACTTATGATTGCGCGTGGAAAGAGCGAACTCACACAGAGTAGCTTTCGAAGCTAACTTTGAGAGATAGGTCATGAGGTTCAATTTGTGAATCAATTATATTTATCGCATGAGCCCTGACAAAACTTTCAATTAAAACTAGGTTTCAGAAAAAATAAAGTGCGATTTCCAGTCGAGGTACAGATAAGATACCGCAGCTTTATCGTATCGCGGCTAGGGAAACGCCCGTTCCCATAAAGGCAGCAGCGACTTAAATTTTTTCCAATTGGATCCTGAATGACTTGAGTTCTGGTTTTTTTTTTTTTGGCAGAAAGGACATCATTTCTTCCAGAGACGCATGGAGAGACTTCACAGCTGCGTCTTCAAATGCAGTTTCTTTGGTGCACCTTTCGTGGCCCTAACGGATCATGAAGGAATACAGTGCTTGTTCAACCAAAAATTGGTGAGAGGCTTTGTTATTCGTAACACAGCGATTTTGTGACTGAGTCACAGTTTCCAAATTTTTGTAGTTGACGTTTAAATGCAGGGGGAAAAACGCTTCTACTCTTTCTTCAAAGGTGTTCCCCCAGCAAGATGGCTTTCTTGTCTCCTTTTGTTCCTCATCTTCGGCGTCATGTTCTTCCATTCGTTGAATTCACGTCAAAACGTTTGGTTAACGGTGGGCGAAATGATGTATTACTGAATAACAAACAGTTACCTGACATTTGAAAGAAGATTACCCGAGACTGCAGAGGCAATTCTGCTTATCTGTACCATTTGCCTCAATGGGCTTGATACTGCTAGTTAAAAATCTATTGATATGTAGATGATATAGACAGTCAGAGGAATATTCGAAAGAAATCGAACTGAACCTCTAGGATTTAAATGTGACTTTTCTCTCGAGGCGCAACAGTTGGGTTTCCCCAAGTTGAAGACAATATTTTTTTTGTGTCAATTTTCTTCTCTAGGTAGAAAAAGAACCTGGATTTGGAAACTTCCGTTTTAATCAAAGCCTTTTGGGGGACCATGTACCTTCCATGTTTTCTAACGGCGAACGACACAGTCAACAGAAGGGATTTCTGATCGCAGTTTCACAAAATATGCTGCGAATGGGGAGACTCATACCCAACATCATGGACATTATGCCGGAACATTTGATAAAATGGAATTTCAAAGAGGGTAAGAACAAATGTATTTCTGACACTCCCAGGGGAAAGGAGCTTGAGTCAGAAAAGAGAGGTTAAGCAAAAACCAAAATAATCACAAAGGCCAATTCGAACAAAGCTGAGAATTTCAAAGAGCCAATGAGCACCTTGAGTAAATTTGTGCACACGGCCTTGAGTGCTTCAGAACGTGAATGACCAAGTCGCTATTGGTGTACGTCTTTCGTGTAACTGATTTACAGGTTAGCGGAAGTTTTATTGACCAATCATAGGACGTAGAGATACAAACCAATGCAATCCAGTTACTTATACACTCGGTCGAAATACCCTTAGAGCGTTATCTGAAGCGTCCTCTTTGATTCGTTCTTAGGGACCAGTCGTTATTTATCACGAGGGGGGTGTTGATTTTGGGGTGATCACATGATTTTCAGGGGGAACGGAGAGGGGATCAGTCGGGGATCAGTGTAAAGGGGGGACAATAGAAAATTGATTTCCAACTAACTGCCAGTGGGGGGGGGGGGGGGGGTCAGGTAAATCTTATCGAGACACCAAAAATCCTCCAAACCCCCCTCCTCAGGATATCTTACATTACATTGCTCACGTTACATGACTTGCTCACAATTCAATCGAGAGATAGAATATGCCGCCAACTTCCAAACATAACCATTACGATGCAGTATACCACCTTTACTTGATTGCAAAGATATATTTTCTTATCTTTCTGAATCTGCTAGTGTTGCCACCTTATCTAATTAGAATAAGCTACAAAACGTGTTTGAATATATCACTGCACGAGCTAAATTTTCAATTTTGTTTTCGTAATTTCGTAATTTCATAATTTAATTTCCTTTCAGGTATGGGAAATCCAAGTCAGGAGGAATGGGAGGAAAGAATTCTTCACCTTTCCATGGACGTGCTGAGTGAAAGTATGCTTGGGATACGACTGAGTGGACACAGCTTTTTGCAGTGGAGATTTGAAGTTCTTAAAGAGGAGAAGTAAGAAGCCTTGAAAGAAATTTTCGATTGAAGCGAGTGATCAATTTTTTTTTTAGTCCTCAGTGGAGATATGTTTCTGAATGTGATATTTGTGACGTCGAACCGCGTTCACTATTTCGATGAACTTAGCCTGTTCTGTTTGAAACACAGGTCTATTATTACACATGCCATAACAACTACTGCAATGGCCTAGCTACAAGTAAAGGGAGTCCTAGCTTGCATTCAACCTCCCCCCCCCCCCCCCCGCACCCTTCTTCATCAAGGAAAAAAAGTAGAAAAAACACTGGCCCGAGATGCTCTTCAAATACCAGTAGTGTGTTAGTGCTAGTGCTAGTGCTAGTGCTAGTGCTAGTGCTAGTGCTAGTGCTACTTTAGGATCCCCTTCAATGGAAAACCCCCCCTCCCCCGCCAACCTCCCGTTCTACAATACACTAATAATTTTACAGTCCTCGATTGTGGAGGTGTGGAGGGAAAGCGTTAACTTCATTTTTATTGGAGGTGAATGACTGATAATGACTGGCCTTCTAACTTTATCAACCTTTAATAACTACAGTTAACTTGCAAATCAACCTAGTTTCTCACAATTCCCGCTGACGCAGCATGACAGTTTCATGAAAGACAAATAGCCTCGTTCAGGGGACTGACTGACTGACTGAAGGGGGTAAGTTTGTGAAGAAGCTGTGGTGCTGCGACGGTAGGAGAGTATACCAGGGTAATTAAGTATTATCAACTGAGCTGATAACGTAAATTGGCCACCGTAAAGAGTTATTGAGAAATAACGTAAATTGAAATGTGAACATGTTTACAGGACGTGCTTCGGGAAACCATCTGGGAAATACAAGAAAGCCCTTCACGCATTCAACCACTTGAAAGACGCCATAGCAAATGCTCCTGATATTGATCCAGTCTTAAAGGAGGCAGCTAATCACGGTCTGACAGAGGATGAGGCGGTGTTGGAGATTCTGTGGATGTTGAAGTAAGTTGCCACTTCCTTGTTATGAAGCGACTCTATAGCTAGCCTACATAGCAGAAGTATTTCGAGTGTTGAACCTGCCATGTTGGATGGTGAGAGCGCGTAAAGCCTAGGTTGGAGGGAATAAAGAAATGTACTGGGGAGGTGGTAGTGAAGTGGTCATTTGCGCCTACCCATTCAATATGGTGACTTAATTACTTGATCGGAAGAGTTAGTTCTCACTTGATTAATAAAAAAGAACGATGGGAATGGTAAACTAGATTACAGTAAAGCAGCTTCAGTTGGTAAAGCCCAACATTGGCCTAACATTGGCAGCCACAGCAATTATGGTAGGGAGTAATCCCTCTTGGCAAAATTTCTGTTTGCCCTCATAGGCTGCAGTATTTACGACACACGATCGAGAGGCGATTCAAATTACTTAAATTACTTGCAATGTCTTTGCAGCTTTAATGCCGCCCCTGGTACAGGAGCAGCTATGCGGTCAGGAGCTGCGCGCTTGTCCATCATGTCCTGTGAGGAACGAAATGAACTGAAGAAGGAGATCCGAGAATGCCTGGGACCCATAGGACTGAATCTTAAAACACTCCATAAGATGAAGAAGTTAGATAATTTAGTTTGCGAGGTAAATGTTTCTGGAATAATTGCTGTACCCAGTCGAAGAGACGTATGTGATTTGCCACGTTCTTAAATATTACGCTAAACTTTGAAACGCGTTGTAATTACTAGCAGCTTGAAATATTGACCTCGTCTGCTCTCATCTACAGAGCGACTGCTGCAAAAGGTCTATTTCGGTTTTACCGACCATCAGACTTCCAATAGTAACTACGCTGTACTGTAGGTAGCTCTACTTTGCAACATCTTTCAAGGGAACTGGCATTTTAAATGATGTGCTTCTTTCCTCTTCCTTGAGAACCAAAAAGAGGAGAAAAAATTTCCAGCTTTATTGTTTTGGCGATTCATAGTCAAGGTGTTTTGGTGCGCTGAATGTTCGAATTTTAGTCTACTTGCCATTTTGCCCTTGATTATACCAAGAGGCTATTTTGCAGATATGTAAAGAGGAAGCTACTATCAGAATAAAAAAGGCCAATGGGAACGTTGTATTATTACCCGAGGAAAACGTAATAGTTTGTGTGCAAAAAAAAGTGCTTTTTCTTGAGGAACCCTATCAGTTTACCGAAAAATGTTTCTTGTAACAGGAGGATAGTTTTCATCAGCCCTCGTTTAATTCTTAGTGTTTCATACGACTTGTTGTTGTCGTTTTCTTATAACTGTTGTAGTTGTTTGTTTGTTTTTTCAACAAATTTCCCATTGCCTTGGCTTTTCGTTTAGTTATATTTCCTTTTTTCTTCCAGATTCTCAGGATGTATCCACCAGTGGCGTTGTATTTTGGAGTCGCCAGGTAAGCTTTACTCCTACACCTATGAACTCCAGCAATGATCGAAAACATTTAACCAAATATAACGCACAAACTTTTCCGGTCTTACCAGCAGCTATATTCACCCTCTCTTTAACTGGTATCGTTATATGATCTCTTTCTCTGACTGGCATACCAACTAACATATCTCAATACCTTTTCTATTTGTCTACCATTTTCAGGAGAGCATTCTTCGTCAAGTCTTCTTCTGGTGTTTACAAAATTGACAAGGGGCAAAAAGTTGTAGGAAATTGTCATCTGGCTCAAAGAGATCCCGAGGTTTTTGGTATTTCTGGCTGCAAGAGTGTAAACGAGTTTGATCCCAGCAGGTTTAACGTTAAGGCAAGTGTGCTAAGGAATAATCCTCTATTTAGTAAGCAGTTAGCATGTTTCAGGCTTTCAGCTGATAAACGGGCAGCGCCGGATGGTGAAAGCAAACCGAAAAGCTTCTCACGACCCTACCTTATTCTTGCCACAATGACTCCCTTGAGATTTTGGGAAAAAATACCTGAAATGCTCGTAAATTGCTAGCTTTCGGCTCGTAATGTACAGACTTCCTTCGTCGGTTGTTGCATAAACAGATGAAAATGCTTCTTTTTCACCAAAATGCAACACCGTAAAAAAACATAGTGTTCAGATTAGGTGGCTCAATATTTGTTCTAGGGCTTCAATAGATATGTGCTTTGTTTTAGGGTCTTAAGTCCAAGCTGATCTGTACCCACGGTCCATTGTCTGACCCACCCTCCCCTGAAAACCATAAGTGCACAGGGACGGTAAGTCACTTGATTCCAATTATCTAATATTTCTAGGAAGTGTGATGTTGCATGGAACTAGCTGTAGTTTGTGTTGACTGCCGGCCAGAATGACAAATGTACTTATTACTTGAAAGCTGATGTTTCTCCGTCATCGACACCAGTACTTTGGTTATCCTCTTAAGATCTCCCTATTAGTACTTGGGATGACATACAAACACTCTTCAACTGAGTGTCGAAAGCAATGCGGGATTAGTCTGTGCTCTGGAACTTGAGTCGTTCCTTGAGATATCTTCCCTTATTGCGATGAACAGTTTGGATTACTTTTGTTAAGGTTTTACAACATTCAATGAAAACGCGCTCCTGTCTTGTTTGACTAATTACATTTCAGTCACATTCGATTAACCTCTCTAACTCCCAGATCACATTTGTAATTCTCGTTATTGTCAACCATACAGTTCTCATAATGTTAGTTCAGAAAACTTAGTATTAGATCAACTAATTATCCCCAAATTGATATTTTTCTTTATTCTCATCACTTATCTGGTTTATATTGTATCGACATTGTAGGGAGAAATTCTGTCTTGGTCACTCATGGGAGTTAAAGGGTTAAATTATTTGATACGAAGTGGGTTCGATAATGGTTTTGTTTTTTTTGTTTTTGTTTTTTTTCACGGTTCACTTCTCAGTGTACCTTGAGAGACTAGAGAATGCTATTTCAGCATTAGATGCAGAAAACTCTCTTGATGATTTAGACCATCACTTACACGTCTTGATTTCTTTTAGAACGTTGGATACGTCACGCTCAAGTGTTTCGTTTTGTACTTGATCATGTTCTGCGACTGGAGTTTGGAAGAAAAACCATTCTGGACCGACAAATCGTAAGAGTTTCTTCATCTTGAAATGTTCGTGTGACTTTGTATTTTGAAGTAAACAGAATTAGAAATAGAAAGTAATTTAGAAATTATCAGTTGAGAGTTAACATGAAAAATTTGGGGCGTACTGGATTTTTTTATCTGGAAGATTAATTAATTTGCTTCTTTCCTTTTAAATTTTGCTGGTTTATTTGCAACAAAGTGCTTTGTCGGTAGCTTTATCATTTGGGCTTTTTTTCAGACTCCTTCGTTATGGAAATCCAGATGAGCCCATCCGACTAAAATATTTCAAGTATACTAGAGACAAGGTATTAACAGTTTAATTCGTCATACGCTTGCAATCTGTTTGTACAGGACTTGATTCGCGATATTTCGAGTTTTTTTAATTGTGAGGGAGGCATACTAGAGAAGCCGGATGAGAAATAAAATTCTTTCTTTTGAAAAACGAATACCAAGAGGCACGAATACTCCAAATATGGAATGGAACAGATTGTAACGCTTTACGATTAAGTATTTGGTGAACTGTTGGTATCTTAGCAACTGCGCACCTACCTTCCCCTAACCCAACAACAGTCAACTGATAATAATTTAGGGTTAATAATGGGTTAGGAAAGGGGTAGGTGCGCAGTTGTTCAGATATTGACATTGATCCGAGTATCTCAAGAACTAAACCAAAGCAAGGACGTAAGTCAATCTGAAATATCACTTGGAGCCAGTGAGATCTTAAAGTAAAGGCATGAAGACTGTATGAAACGTGAGGAAATGCATGTGGTCAAGTCGCTGCTAGTTGTAGTTTGAATCTGGTAGGTTTCAAAAAAGTTGGCGCGAGTGTTTAGACCAATCCTAGAGCGAAGAGAAGTAAAAACAAAGCCATCCCAGATTACTTTTGACACTCACTAAAAAAATTGAAGTTGAAAGCTCAACAGCGCCGTAGAACCACTTTTTAAAATTGTTATTGTTTTTAATTTCCAGGAAGAGTTGCTGCTGCCTGATCAACCTGACAGTAGCAGCAGCAGCGATGAAGATATGAACGATGGTCCCCCCGGCGACTGTGAGTGTCCTGTGGAAGAACCCGACGCACAAGGAAACTGCCCACTTTGACAAGACAATTGGAATGTTTCAAGTTATTTTGGTAGTTGTTGTCTTGATATCGCGCACAGCACAGGACATTTAACTTGGAAGTTAAACTAAAACCATCCCTGCTTTCTGAGACTTAACCCCAAAGGGAGACAAAGAGCACGTTTTTACCACCCTCCATTGTAATTTGTAAACGTGTAACAAAGTTGTTTGGACAGAGAGCCTATCAAGGAATTTTTATAGAGGAGATTGTGAGGAAGCATGCGTCAATAAAGTAAGACCGTTAATTGAAGTTGTAAAGGATAAGTCGTCACCGTTGGTTAAGAAAGTCTATTCGTGGTACATGTAGTAAGCATTAAGCTTATACATTGAATTTTGGCTCTGACTCTTCTGGCCTGGGGATAGTGTGGGTTCTTGAGTGGTAATTATATTTAGTGATATTTACTAATTCAACGACTTGCTAACGCGTATATTTTTGTATCAATTCCCATCAGAATAATCTCAATAGTCTAGATTTCTACTTATTGAAACAAATAAATTTATGGTAGGGAATTTTATAAAATTTACTTCAAAAGATAAACAGAATAGTTTTTCTATTGTTGGTTCAGCCAACCTTCGTCTGCTATTCAACTCCGTCTTGTCTAATTTCATGCTTTCATTACGCCTTTAACCCTTTAACTCCCAGGAGTGATTAACATGAAACTTCTCTCTATAATATCCATACATTTATCAGCTAACAGGTGATGAGAATGCTCAAACTTATTAGGTAGAAGCTGCTCTCTTGATCTAGCACCAAGTTCTCTTAACCAATTTACAAAGAAATGGGTAGCAGCTAGAGGGGAGAACTAACAATCAGATCTTGGGAGTTAAAGGGTTAATTTACGTCATTTAAACAAAATTTGTCATGAGTTACGCACTTGTTATGTAGATACTAAATACCACATATCTGGTACATCTCTGTCTCCAGCTTTGTGATCTTTTATTCAGGTTAATTTCCTGAAAAGTATGTTGTGAAAAATAATAACAGGTTAGAACAGTTATCAGTTGAGTTTCAAAAAAGCAAAACCAAAGTAAATCACAACAGCCAGTCAGAGCTACGCTCGACATCTTTGTTAGCCCATGACAACTCAAACAAGGACAGGCAAACTGCATAAAATATTTGGGAAAATGCGAGTGACCAAATAACGAATTGTGTAAGTTTTGAATCCGACCAGTTGAGACAGTGGTGCGAGTTTTCTGGATCATTCACAGAGCGAAGTTATGCAAAACCAAAGCAATCAAGAATTACCTTCGAGACTCAATTAAAAACTGCACTAATGAAGAGTTTTCTACTTTGGTATTGTTCAAACCGGCAAACTCTCGTTTGCTATGAGTTAAGGATCTCCGGCAATAACTTTGTTTACGCTTGACGACAATTAGAAAGGTAACGGAAGTCAAAGAGTGCTTTTTACTTTAACTTCACCAAACCAAGTCCAAATGAATCAAAGCAGCCAAACATGACAAAGGTCAACTTACCACTGAGCGAGTGCCAATTTACAGGCGCTGTTTTCCTGGAATTATCTGAGACAAGCATCACGGTTGATCATTACCTACTTCAGAAGCAAACGAATATTCCACTTCCCATGGTTTAGATCTCATCTCACAAACAGGTCAAAAATCACATCAGTCGGAGATAATCAGTCTGTAGCTACTGAAGTCCCCCTTGGGGTACCCCTTCCTGGGACCACAACTCTTTTTAATTCATATAAATGATCTCCCAGACTGTCAGCTGGCAAAATGTTATTATTCTGTACGCCGACGATACTGAGATTTATTACTCATCCAAAAACCTTAGTCACCTTGAACAACATACCAATGATGACTTGAGATCAGTGTCAGAAAGGTTCTCCAGAAATCCCTTTATTCTTAACATGTCGAAATGTAGTTTTGTCATTTTTGGAAGTCCACAAAAGCTAAAACGAATTCAGGAAATTTCGATTCAAAGCAACAGCTCAAGAATACCACATGGTGACAATCATTTTGATACATTCTTTGACAATACCTAGAATAGAGTGCTAATAAGAAACTTCCCGAAACACATGGAGGAAATTCAGAAGTTAAGAAAACTAATAACACACCCTCTTTGCATAAACTAATCCAAGTAAGATTCTTCAATTTTTTTTCGTTCTTTTATTCGATAGATATCAAATTCAAACCCTGACCATTCCGGAGATCTTCATCTCGTCAAGTTTCTCTTAGAGAGTGTTCAGTCATCTTTTGGAAATCAGCCATATTAATTCTTTATTTTTTTCCCAGGCTTCTTGTAATTGATATATTACTTAATATTCAAAACCTGTGGATTACACCGAAAATAACAGAAGCCGAATGTACACGAATAACACGAATAAATAGATTAGGATGTGAAAGATAAATATATGAATGAGAAAGTATGTTAGTAATTGATTATCAGTAAGTACTACGTAAGTAAAAAGATGGAGAACAAAACAAGTCCTAACATACTGTTTGGAGATAGCTCTTCTAAGGCAACTGCGACCAAATATTAGCGGAACTCGTTCTCTCGGTTGTGGTAGATTTTAAAGTTGTAGTGATGACTTTAAAGTTTAACATGGGCTATGCTGTCACTGGTGAGAAATGTCGGGTCGATCTGGCAAACAATAACAAAAATTTCTATGCATCAAAATAAGCAATTATTTGAGTATAAATACCTTCAGATAATATCTCGCACGTTTCATTCGGTATCTTCACTTTCGTTTATCTGAAAACACTGCAGCAATCTTGACTTGTTATCATAACTGAAATGAAGCATGGAAAGAAATCCACAAATATATTACATCATTTAAGTAAACTTGCCTCTTATTTATCTTACGCTGAGTGCAAAGTCGAATAAACAGTTGATTATTTTCATATCTAACCTTTTAATTGCCGAGCAATTGCTTCCCAAACCGCTCAATGTTTTGGGACGTACCAGCATCGTGAAGCTTCAAGAAGAAATTCTACGCTTAGCTTCTGGTATTGACCACATAAACTTCAACTTTTACTGTGGCAGGCTAGAACTCAAGATCACCATGATTCGACGACAGCGCTATCGGGTTACCGAGCGGTAAGTGCAATTAATAACAACTCGCTCAGCCTTGTTGTAAGGGTAGAGCTATTACGAGAACGGTCTAAATTAACCCTAGAAAACGTTAGTTACTTAAATCGTGTTGTTTGATATTTCCAGATTTTTACTCTTTACCATACCTACTTCATTATGAAGGTTAAAATTGGGACATAACAAGGAATAAGGAAGCCCCGATCTTAAATGTAATTAACGTCAGACTGGAGTTGAGATTAAGCGTTACTCAAATCTTGAGCTTAGAGAAAGTCAGAAACATTTATGAGAACTGCTATGACTAGTGTTGAAGGTTACACTTCAAAAATATCCGACATGCAATGTTTAGAAGACGTTTGACTTTCTTTGCAACCATACAACGAAAATTATCCTCTTAACTGATGTATGTTACATCCTTGCAGCTCCTTCTGGTAACGTAAAGAATTTAATTGTAGGTATCTGTTCTCTGAAGGGCTTAGGATTTTCCTTTTGTTTGGTTTGTTTTAAAATGACGAAAAGAACAATTTAATTTCCAGCTAAGATTATTAAATTGTTTGAGGTGGAGGTTCGCCAAAGAGAAGCGTAACTCTATATCCACCGTTGACATTCATGGCTTCAAATTCCTTTGCGTTAAATTTCTTCGTTGCCTTTGTAGACACGTATACAGACGATAGTTCATGCTGTCGCCCAAATGTTATCAGGGACGACAACTTTTAGAGATTGTAGTGGTTAAAGATATCGGCCAATGGGTCGATCGTGAAATACGAAAGTAGTCACTTAAAGGTGAACACGTCGTTTTAGAAAATACTATTCTCATAGAATCACAAAACGAATCTCCAATTTACACTAGAAAACCGGAAATAAAAATATCTTAGAGAAAAGTGGTTAATTGCTAAACGGTATACCATAATATTTTGGTTTCCTTGTATGGAATTGTTTCAGTAGCCCCCTTTCTCGCAAAAGCCCAACCCGTCTGACCAATCCGTCACTCTAACGAGTTAATTGAAACTACGCCACTCAGAAATGAATTACAAAGCTACAAAACAGCAATGCTAAAGCATGTTCCTGTGCCAATTTCTCAGTGTCACTCTCTCTATTGAATTTCAGTAGTTATCGTGCCAGGGTGAGCTAAGACAGGCAATTAAAGCCAGATATTGATAGATTTAGCTGATTTGTTGTTACAAGACGTTTCAAATATTACTTGGTTGTTTAGACAATTGGACAAACACTTGACGTTTTATCAATCACTTTATATCACAATTTTGTTACAAGCCGACATCTGCTGTCCCACTTCCTTACATTCACTTGTTAGGACGTCTGCTTATTTAAAGTGAATTTGATTGCAATCACCAAGAACCTCTCAGTTGCAATAAAAAGAATTCCAGGTTGATCTTTATTTTTTAACTTCTATCATTACTTATCTTTGAAGATTTTATTGGATTTTAAAATCATTTTGTACTTGTTGGGTCATTTCAGTATGAAAAGGAATGAGACTTCGTTTGGGAATTATAGAGAAAACCTATATTAAAATTCTCTCACCCCAAAAGTGCCACCTCATATTTTCGATGCAGAGATGGCGGACAGTTGAAAGGCCAGGGAATTATTTTTTTTAATGTGAAGAGAAACCAACTATTATTTCGTTTGAAAAACTAATTCACGTGAGAAAAACATCATTTTCCGACATGTTCTTTCACAGGAGATCCCTAAAATACATTACTGAAACTCAAGATAATAAGCGCTGTTTCGCCCTTAACAACCAAACGGATTCAATAACACCTCCTTCACCCACCCCCGTAGTTAATGATGTTTGCATTCTGCGTCCCTGTAAGTTACTAATTACTCCAGATAATGAATTTGTGCAATACGTGGATCATCAATACTATTGTAAACATCCTTTGCTGTGACTACATCTCGTCATTAACACGTCTATAATCATGCAAATTTCTGTGATCAGCCACTCAAGCGCGTTACTGACGTTCCTACTGATAAACACAGTGCACCAGCCGCTGATGTAACCCTCAGGATAAATAGTTCTAATCGAAACCGCGCGGAAAATGTGCAGTCAACAGTGAGCCACTACAAAATTAAACAGGTTTAAACTACAGGTACGTGCGTCATCCTTATGCAAAACAGCGAGACGGAATTTTCGGTCCCCAGTGTGAAGTGTATTTGTTATGCGCAGTGGACTATGCATAATCACAAGCTAATGGCCATCAGAGAAGGACTCGTTCAAAAAGTCATTTGACGAGTGGGTGTTCTGATTTCGCTTTATAGCCTCGAAGAGCCAGAGTCGACTACAACAGCAATGCAGGTGTCGCCTGAAACCCAAGAGAAAGAAGTTCCCGGAAAATATGGGTTGAAGTTCTTCCACGTTGTCGAGTTGGTCATGGTGAGTTGATTACAAGTATCCGTAGAAACTACCAGTGAATGTAAATTTTTTGTCGCTCCCGTCTAGAATAAAGCAAAGGAATCGTAACTTAATGCATTCTTTGACAAAACCTAAAATTGAGTGCCAATAAGACACGTCTTCTTTACCAAATACCCATTGCTGTTTACAAAGCATAAGTTCCTTCGTACAAGTCTACAAAATAGAAGTCAAATGTGTATTTAACTTCTTTGAACCTTCAAAAATTTAATGAATATTCTCGAGAGAGTTTGGTCAAAGCAGACAATTTTGGGTTTATATATGAAGTTAAAGTTATTGATCTCTTCGTAAATTAGCCAGTGATGTTGTGTAATCAGATTTTGAAATCCTGCAATTGCTGTCTAGAAGCTGAGTGACTACAGTCAGAAATTTATTTAGGAGTGACTCTGTCACAAAACGTACTAAGCGCTCTATTTGCGACGCTCTCTCTTAAAAATTTTCTGTGTAAGTTTTCAAATTCTAGTCGAAAGTTTTAAAGTTCTGAAGTTAATCAATTAAGCACGAAAGAGAGGCATCGAACTCTTCAAAGTACTTGTTATAAAGTAAACTCAAGAAATCATAACTTGTCATAGTTTTACAAAGTTTTGTTTTAGGACTTTTAATTTACAATTTAAATGCGTTACTCATCGCAAACTACGTGCGAGGCAACGTACAAAGTTCAAACGCTTTCTAAGTGTATTAAAATTTTATCAGAACAATTACACAAGGAATCAAACCTTGTATTGTGAAATGCCTGACTGCGAGGTAGTGTTATATTAATGGTGTACATAAATGGTGCAAATAGATCAATGATCTGACTGCAAACTGAGGTTTGTACATAGTAACGACACGCATTATGACTGACACTGTCAGTCGTTTTACGTTCGGATGGTATCCTTAAAAAAATCTTTGATCGCCTGAGTCTTTAATTGTTTACTCTGTCTTTTTTCTCACGAAGCTGATAATGGTGCAACTTGAAGTCAGTGACACCAAACAAATGTCTGTGTTGCCAAGTTTCGTTTCATTTCGTTCTGATTCTCCTCTGATGTTAATGGCACTTGAAGTAAAAGTAATTTGCGTCACTTTGTGTCTGGTTAGAGCAAGCAATATGGGCTACATGCACTTGGGCCTTCAATCACGCGCAAAAGAAAACAAAGTTAGAAACATTAACACGGATATGCCAAAAGGAAATTAGACCAAAATATTTTTAAAACTGAAGTGAAATTAACTCAAGACGTTTCAAAGCGGTGCAATTAATTAGGCCAAAGAGACTTTGGCGAAAAGTTGTAGCCTAAAATGTGTAACGAGATGTCGAGTCCGACCAGCCACAAGCTATTTTTTTCACAAGAATTAGTAAGTCATGTCACGAAAACAACTGAACAGCAAAACACGACACACGCAAGGCCTCGAGAAAAAGTTCGCATGGCAATCGCCTCGCAGGATAAAAACAAGTCATTATCTCATTAGTTCCACTACTTTGGCTTTTTACAAAGGTTAAAGCGAAACAGTGGGATCATTAACGTGATGGTGACGTGAAGGTCTCCCGCTTGATCAGTCAACAACGGAAAACGAATATTGAAAAGCGATATTTGCAGTAATGAACACCACTTACGCAGTAGTGAGAATAAGGCCTGAAAAAAAATTCAGGTCTGTATGGGATTTGAACCCATCACCTTTGTGTTACCCGCGGTGCGGAGCTAACAAGCTAATTGAGAGCTGATCATTGTGTTTGTTCATAATAAACCCATAGAGTTATGAATCAATGACTGTGGATATATGAAAATCATATATGTGAACTGCGGTTTAAGAAATGGATATAAAAACGATCTTAGCAGTAATGAACACCACTTAATTATTACTTACATCATTTTCATATATTTATAATTATTAATTCATCACTTCACGGCCGGGTTTATTTCGAACCGACAAAACGACTCGCTCCCAGTCGGTTTGTGAGCTCAGATGGTAGACCACTGCACCCGTATCTCAAAGGTCATGGGTTCAAATCCCGCTCGGGCCTGATTTTTTTCAGGCCCTATTTTCACTACCTCTTAGATTGTGTTGATTACTGGGAAGATCGCTTTCATATTCAATTCTTAAACCGCAATTCACGTGCATGATTTTCATACACTCACAGTCAACAATGGAAAAGATTTGCTATGTTTTGTTCTCACTTACTCAACTAGGAACCAAACTAAACCTTTACCTCGTCGCAATGTTGTTCAGTGTTGCCTTTGGCTCTCTATTCTGCGAGACAGTTTTAGAGATATATCGAACAAAATTTATTCTGTTTTGTTGCTTTTTAACTAGTTGAATATGGAATAAACTGCCTTTAAAAAGTTTCAAGATTTGGTCACTGTATTTTTTTTCTTAATCGAGTAGAACGGCCACGGATACTTCTATAAAAGAAGAGACAAGTACAAGTGCTCCGTATTTAAGGTCAACATGGGCATCAGAGGTATCCACATATGCGATAGGAAGGGAATTAACATCCTCTTTAATATGGAAAAGGTCAGTAATCTCTGTTATTATCAGTACTGTATACCCAATATGATTCCAGCAATATTCATCTTGAAGTCAGAAAGAACGTCTAAAAGAGTAAATAGGTTACACAATGCCATCAGAGAAATCCGAGAGAGAAATGCGCTTTTTGAGAACGTTCCGATATTTGAGTCTTTTTTTTTAGAGTTCCTTTAAAAGTAGAGTAGGTATATAATCATGACATAGTCTTCTACCAACCCTGGACTAACTCCAAAGATTAGGAATAAATCTGAGAGTAAAGGGGATGTTTAAGGTTGTCAAGGATTGATTCAGTCTGGCTATGACGAGATGGAAAAATTGAGGCTAAATGTGGTTGAACTAAAAAAAAAAAAAAAAAACTGTGACTTCCTGGAGTGAAAACCATTCTTAGTCCCACCATCTCTTCTCTCTCCAAAAATGGGATGAGCTCTCCACCATAGTGTGCAGTTTTACTAGCCATCAGGGAGGGGAGGGTAAAACACTCGGAGGAAAGCTGACGTCCACAAAGGGTTTTTGAGTAAGCTTTCTGATATGCGGCCGCTGCACGTAGGTTATTGTGGGAGTATATAATCCATTCATAGGTAGTAAAAAACCTGGGAGGCTATCCCCCTCATAAATTTTCTATCAGTGCATAGAAATGATTTTATATCATAATCACTGTTGTATTCGCCAGGTCATGTGAAAAATTTTGCCCGCAGTTATGAATCATGTAAAGATATAAAACACCTTTTATCCTTCGAGACATGCAAGCTTAGATTTTACATTTATCATTAGTTTTCCGTCTTGTCTTTTTTTTCTCTAGATTTACAAAGAGCCAGCGTTCGGGCGACTGAACTATAACATCTGTCTGCTAGACGGATACACACCCTCCATGTTCGCAAATGGAACTCCTCACGAAAAGCAAAAAGCGTTTCTCATGCAATTGTGCAAGATAGCTCAACAGGGAAAAATATTTGAAACAAGTGTGAAACTACTTCGAGAATATTCCACAATATGGCAAAACGCAGGTGAGAAACTTTTTATGATTTCAGTTCACTCGCCTGATTAAGATGTAACCTGATCGGTTTTCGCCACTTCATTAGAGACCAGTCATTATCATCACCTAAGGGTAAGGGGAGGGGTGGGAGATTGGGGGATCACATGGTTTACAAGGTGAACGTAAGGGGGATTAAAACAGCAGAAAATAAAACGGAACACAGCGGTCAAAAACTGGGCATGCGTGAGAGTTTGAAAACAACAATAAGGATTCCCGAACGGATGGATAGCGTAAAGTAAGAAAGAGAAGATTAAATTCCTAACTATTGTAATGCGCAAGACAAATGAAAGAAGGATTTGGGAGAAAGATCAAATCTTGGCTTTATTTTATTGTGAGATATCCTAACTGTTTTTAACGCGGAAGCTTCGTTTCGGTGATAAAGGAAATGGCGGAACCTTCTTCTACCCTTGCTGTAAAGTGTACTATCCGCCATAAGCACAGACCTGTGATCGTCGCAAATATCTTGTGTGGCTCTGGTTCTTCCTTTTTTCACACATTTCCCTCAGTGTTTACCTGCAACTCCGCCATGAACACAACAAAGAATAAGTACCGCCAGCACGGCCAAGGTTACGGACGACTTCATCACGACGCCATGCAAAGCGTATAAAAGAGAGTTTAAACTAACACATAGAGGGTGAAGTCCAGAACAATAGTGTGTATGCGTCTCTAGAAAGTGCGAACAAACTACGTCTTCCTTTGATTCTCCATGTTTATCCATTAAAATTACGATGGATCAAATTGTCCATCATAGTGCGTATATGCAATTATTTGACCGCTGTGTTATGAGAGGGGGACTCTAGAAATTGAATACCTAGCAATTGCCAATGAGGAGAAGGGGAGGGGGGGGGGAGGGGCGCAAGAATATTAAAGAGCTTTCAAAGGGGGAGAGATAAGGCAGATTCTATCGTGACACAACCAAAATCCCTTAGTGCTATTGGTATCGCAGAGGTCATGGGTTCATATACGATTATATACGATACGATCAGTGATACTTGTGACTGAGTTAATTACAAACAATTCCATTCAACGGTTTCCCCTCCATGTCTTTATATCTGCAGACCCTACGCTGAAATCCACGTGGGAGCAAAGCATTATGGACCTTACATGTGACATCTTTACTGAAGCTTTCTTAGGAATCCGAGTCGATCATCAAGCAATGTTCAAATGCGTGAAAGGAAGCTGGGGGAAGCGGGGGTGTGTGATCAGCCAAATTAATTATATTGTACTTCGATCCACTGATTTATCATTTGGTATATTTTATGAAATCATAAACTCCTTAACACATTAACAATTATCTTCATCATTGAAACAGTCGTTAATGAAGCCCAACACGAAACATATAATCAATGGTGTAATCTCGAGGCAAACCAGTCTTAAGCACAATAGTATTTAAGCTTGTTGTAACAAATGCGAGCCATATTACTCATTGCTCCTTGTTGATTTCATTTTCCTAAGAGGATTCACCCGCTCAATCGTTAACTCGTAGTTTGTACATATTTGTTTTTTCACCAGTTACCCATTTTTTCTTTGCTCATCAAAGACTTTTTTTTCTTTTTTTATTAGAACCTTACGAAAAGGAATAGATGGTGCAAGCTGCTTGAAGCAGGCCTTCCGACAAAGTCCAGCTCTTACCGATATTATCAAAATAGCCGTCGAGGCTGGAGTGACAGAGGAACAAGCTTTGATGGACGTTCTATTTATGCTCAAGTAAGACCCTATTTGCCTACTCTCTTTTTAGGGTCAAATTTTTAGGCTCCTTAAAAGTATTCACTGTAATCTCAATTGACCACTTTGTGCTTTATTTCACTGATCGTAATTTTCACTTCTCTTTGGATCAATATTCATGCACTTGTATACACAACAAGAAACATGCAGACCCCGTTTTTGCAGACTCATGCTGCGTAAGTCCATACAAAAATTTGCTTGTTGATCTTTAAGCCTTCAATGAGCTACTAGTATCCGACTATTATTAATTATGATAAATATTTGATAATAATCAATTATGAAATACAACGTAAACTAGCGTGGGAGTTGGGTTCCAAAGCGTTGTTGTTGTTATTCTTACTTAACAAGCACCCCGTTGGCAACTGTGAATAAAACTAACCATCAAAATCGTAACTGAAACAAGTGTTAGATATTATCCTTAAAATTAATCATGAAAAACATCTCGACACCGTCTTTTCCTTTCAGTTTCAATGCTTATGGCGGTGTATCCGGTTCTTTGAGGACCTGTATGGCCCGTTTATTCGTGCTCGAGCAGGATTACAAACAGAAAATGAAAAATGAAATGATAACAGTGTTGTCGAATCAAGAACTGTCCAAGGAGGCCCTCACAGAAATGCCGCTCCTGCACAATTTCATCTTAGAGGTATTGCGTATGCACCCACCAGTGCCAGTCTTCTTTGGACGGGCGAGGTCAGTATCGTGTCTTCCCTATTGACATCTCATCTAGATAAAACTTCATCGTTAAACTTTTATTCAGGAAAAAATAAATAAATAACTGAAAAAAGATACTAAGCTACAAATACTTAGCACTGGGATTGCAATCAGCCACAGCGTTTTGAGCTAGAATTCGTGAGATAAGAGATACTTAGTAAGGGAAATCTGTCATATTAATATATTTACATCTAAAATTGCGAGAGAGAGGCCAGTCAGTAAATGGGGTTACAGGGAGTGAAAGGTCATTTCATAAATGAAAAGTGTTTTCCTTTTAATAAACCATCTTGAATGAAGTAACAAACCCTTCCAGCAGCTTACGTAATATCTATAATATTTACTTCTCACTTGCTGTAAAGTGCTGTAAAATGCTTTTGGAATATTGTAACCTAGCAAGGCACCAACCAACAACTCCTTTTACCAAAGTGGGGATTACCTCAGCCTCTATGTCTGAGGACAAAGTTTCGTTTCTTACATTCCATGTCTTCTATTCTCAACAGAGAGGATTTCATCCTTAACTCTGACAGCGGCAAATTCATCGTAAAAAAAGACGAACTTCTTGTTGGAAATGTACGCATGGTGCACAGGGACGAAAGAATATTCGATCAGCCACACAAATTTTTACCGACTCGATTTGAAAACAAGGTAAAGTTTTATTCTTCCTTACGATTCGAAGAGTAATGGGGACCAATGTCTTTTGGAGCAGAATCAAAGATGGAATACCTTACGAGCTATAGAAATGAAGTAGGGTAGAAGAAAATTCAGTTCTTACGGAAATACTCCAAATTGTAGAAATAACGGGTAGTAAAATTTTGTTAAAGACACCATTTGAATCAGTTGATAATTTTGTTGAGGTCCCCTTTCTTGTTCTTGTTTAATTGTAGGCCCTAATAGATCACATCATATATGGATATGGACCCTTTAATGAAGAGGCGACGCCTCAAAATCATCACTGTGCGGGACAGGTAAATACTCTAACTATGCCTTAACTAGAGCTTTGATGAAAATGAGACTGAACCAGTCTTACTCGGGCGTAAAAGCAAAACCAAATTAGTCAAACGGGGCCATCTTCAGACAAAAGGAAAAATCACATAACAATAATAGAAACTTAGAGTAAATGCAGGCACACCTTCCTGAAGCGCCAGAAAACGTGCAATCTGGTAACCAGGTCTCACTTGCTTTCAAAGTTACCTCAGACCGGTTGAGAAGGTGGCGCATGCTTACCTACCAATCACGTAGCGTCTCGACTGGAAACAGAGCTGGGCGAAGTAAAGCAAGTCGGAATATTTTTTTATATATTTTTCTCGCGTTAATTTTGAAATCCTTTTGTATAATCTCTTTTCCCTTTCTCTCTTGATTGTCTCCTGGTTCACGTTCTTCGTTCTCGGCTTCTTTTCTACTTTTCATCCGGCCCTTTTTAAACATGTTCTTGTTTTTTTTTTATTTCTTTGTTTGTTACATCCTTTTGCTTCTGTGTATGATTTCATGGAAGAAAGTTTCATTGCAGGAGATCACCCTGACAGTACTAAAGGTTGCGGTGGCACACGTTGTGCTGAACTGCGAATTTGGCTTGGTGGATCAACCTGTATGGACAGGGAAAAAGTGAGTCATTTGAATTTGTAAAATATTTTGCAGATTGTTTTCATTGACTCCTTGAATCTTCTAGCCAAGTATTATGCTATTTATCCGCACCATTTCAATACATCATCCCACATGTGAGTGAGGACTGAGGAGAACTATCACGGCTAACCGAAAGAAGTCGTTATCCTTACGCAACGCCATATTCGTTAATTTACCAAAAAATAAATAGCAACCAAACGTGAGAATTCCTGGTAAGATCCTAAGAGTCTGGGGGTATTGAAAAGAAAGCTTTCAAAAATTAATTTTGCTCATCCGTAAGGTTACATATGTAATTCACTGTCGGAAAACATCTCAAATGGCCGAGCAATAACTAGTCTTCTTTGCAGCTGTTCTTCAGAGTGTCACACAAAGCTTTACCCCACCCCCGCTTTTCCCCACGAAAAGCCTTGCTTGTCATCCCAAAGAACGGCTGTGAAGAAAAGACAACAGTGCTATCCAAATAAAGAATCATAAAGAGCTTCAGCTGCTCATTTTGATTTTGATTTGTCTTTCATTTTAGATTAAGAAGAGTTGGTTGCCCAGACAAGGAGATGAAACTTTCTTATTTCAAGTACAAGCCCTCTGAGGTGAGATATCATAATTAAGCGAAAAAGAGAGATCGAGATAAAGTATCATCATCAAGAAAAAAAAATCAATAAACGGAGTTCCTTGATTTTTATATTCCAATCAAAATTGGAAATTCTATGGTGTCATTTTTTGTCTCTTAGTAGATTCTCCACTGACAAGAGATCACCAGTATTTGTTTATTGACCAGCTTTTCCCGGTCATCATGGCTGAATAAGGGTCTGTTCTTGTTTCGCACTTTATAAAAATCCCATATTCAGCCATCGCGACCGAAAAAGTTTTGTCAAGAACGTGTATGCCTCTGCGTGCTTTATAAAACATGTCAATTCGCCAGTTGACGTTAAAAGCTTATCCTTTTCCTCTTTTTCTCGATGACTAGGTCGACGGGGGAGATGTGGCAGTTCAAGACATGACAGAATAGAATGACTGCTTTTATTACGTGTGCCATTGTACGCACGTCCACCGTAGACCGTCCGGGGAGGACGACCTGGCCGTGGTCATGAAGAATGGTACAATGGTGCCGAGGTCCTCCCGGCTGACACTAGGACGGTGGAGTTTCGCTTAGCAATAGTCGTGTTTGATCGCACAAATTTGTACCAAGGACATTGAATACGTCCAGTCATCAAGTTAAATATGTGACTGATTGGTTTCAAAGTTTCAAAACCATTCAATGCGTTTTCGGTTTTGAGTTGTAATTAGCTGCGAAAGATTGTTGAGAAGGATGTTATCACAAAGTTTACGAAGTATTCAGGGAACTATGAGTAATGACGTTCAAGTTAGATATCTGATTGCTAGTTGCTAGAGACAAAAACCAAAGACAACAGACAACTATCACTCATCCACCAACGACGGTTTCTGCAACCTGCCACAAATAAACCCGAAATAGAAAACGCACTGAGCAAAAATTAACACCATGTTAAACTACATGCACGAAAATTATTTATACAAAGATAACTAATATCATCAAATGTCATAGCGGTACAACGCCCAGATAAATAAACAAGAACGGCCATATAGCAAAAAGCCCAGTTTCCTCGAAAAGATATGCCTTTGAACGATGCAAAGAGTTTTCGTCTGCAAAAATAGTAAACCTAGGCCCTGCACAAAACAAAAAATTACCTTTCCAAGAATGAAAATTATCAATTAAAAAGATGAATATTAGTGAAAAATCACTTCGTACCCGAATTGTCATTATCCTATCCTCTTATCATTTAACCGATATTTCACAGGGGGTTTAAGCAAATGCGAGCTCACTTTTTGTGTTCTCATGTATTCAGCCCCAATGTCATTATTTTCACCTTTTCTTGATATCTTTCTTTAATTTTTGGGAGTGCATGATTCTTTTTCGGTTCTCTTGCGGCAACTTTTTTATCTTTTTTTTATTTCTTATTCATCCCTTCCTCTAGGATCAAAAGGACCTGCCCAAACGAGATTCCTTGAAAAGAAATGTCAGAAATGATATCAGACATTCCCAGTCCTAGAATAGAAATACAAATCCATTGAATATAGAAGTTGAAAATTTATTTTTTTTAACGTTTTCCTGTCTAGTTGTCGTTGTTACGTTTTTATTTGGATATATAACAGAATATGAAATATTAAATGGGTTTATCTGCTCAGCAACAAAAGATGTGGAAAAACTATGGTTGGAACTACGATGAGAAAAAAGTATAGTTACATTATATGTAACCACTCAAAACAAGTATACATGGGAAAAAATTGGTATAATCCTAAATATGTTTATCATTCACAGAAAATTACTTGCTTGCAAGGATTCGTTTACAGACGTTATTCCAGACGAAATAAATCAATCCACGTTCTTTAATCACCCGTAAAGTATTCCCACGTGTGTTAACTTTTGCGTTTCAAATGAGCTATACAGAGCATTTTTCAGTTGATTGTCCATCAACCATTGCCAAATTAATCACGACCACCCATCACAACAAAGAGAAAAATCATGAACTGGAAAAAAAAAAAAAAAAAAAAAAAAGGCAAACTACCAGACGCTCTGGAAACACTGTGACCAAACCATGATTTATGTTAAATCTGCTTCTGATTGGCTTAGTGGATGGCGCGAGCATTCTAAACCAATCACAGATTCGAATACAGCAAAAACAAGGCAGTGGCTGATTTCTCTTCATATTCAATCAAAGACTGCTCCAACCCACACATATAGGTGCAATCATCGAGACTTGAAGTAATCGACAGTACATTAGTTTTGTCTCACCACAATCTCCGATTGGTTGAGAAAAAACTCACACCTGCTTCTAAACCAATGAGAGAAGACTTAGTCTGGGTACCATTTCTTTTCGCATACGTTTACTCTAAGCAGTGATTGGCTCGTTCTGTCGTGTACCTTTGCACTGATTGACCATGTGATAACTATTGGATTGGATTTGCGACACTCGCCCTATTGAGGTAGTATGGGGAGTGTGTTGGCAAAGACGATTTTGAAAAGTTTAAGTTTCTAACTTATTCCGAATTAACGGGCAGTCAGACAACTGAACTTCACATACAGTACCTTTTCTATATTTTGCTCAATGTCTTTTTCCACAAGATCCCCATGTAGTAGTTGAGTGACAATTTTCTCCTTCACGGGTAGTCTCCATTTCAAGAGGATTTTCCGAACAACGCAAAGGCAGCAGAATTGTGTAAGTGCTATGTTTCATTTCAATTCTTAATTTTTCCCTCGCAACTGCACGATTACGGAAGGAAATTTTTCAATTCAACATTTTAAGGAGTGAGTCCACACTCGACATCAATTTTTAGATCACTGAGCAACTGCGCACCTACTCCTCCCGTAACCAAACACTAACCCTCCCCTTTGACTGCTGTAGGGTTAGGGGAGGGGTAAGCGCGCAGTTGTCTAATACTGACATTGATCCCAATTTTTCTCTTTTTCTCTCTGGACTTGAATGTTGCTCCATAAACATTCCACACCGAGAAAGTCAACTAAATTTGACGACTTGATGTTAATATTGAGCGAGTTTCAGAGACAATGTGACGCTGTTGGCCGTGTCATTTCGTGCTTATCTCAACTCCTCGTGTTAACTCAGTAGTGTTAAAATGAGCGGCTTCAGTTGATACTTCACTCTTACGGACATCAATATCAACTCCTCGCTCATTTAAGGGGAAAATTATCCTGAGTATATATTAAAAATCTGAGTAATTCAAATACTTAACTGGCTTATTTTGGCCTTATTTTCTCGTAAAAGAATTGTTTTTTTACAGGTTCTAAGGTACCGTCCTTCATTATCAGCGCCCTCTTCTTGGCATCTTGAAAAACCTTATTAGCGAATTCGTAAAAATCATTTTCCATTTTCCATATTTTTGATTGTTCAAAGTATTCAATTGTTGAACTTTCCAATGGTTTCTTCGATGCTGTCTTCCTTAGATGAGATTTACCACCTGAAACAGAAAAAAGTACAAAAATAGTAAATGAAAATTCAATACAGAAAAATCAAGAATAGAGAAGTGAACTGTATAAACTCTTCTATGTACGTGTTGCTTCGACACAAAAACAAAACATTTCTTGGTTTAATTTTAGTCTAGAAAAAAAAAACCATTCTGACTTTTAACTAATTTGCTCGACAAGCTTCTTTTTTTCTTTATTTTAATTGTAATAAATGATTTTGAAGTTTGGTCTTGAAGGTTATTCCATATACATACACACTATTTATTTTGAACAAGTTTCATAGCAAAATGGCATTACTTTGCGAAGGAACAAAAAAAATCCAACAGAAAGGATTCTCCACATATTAATATATAGATTTAGCCAAGCCTAAAAGCGGAGCTCGCATTTTTTTCCCGCACGTCTCAAGGGCACAACGCCTTGCCCCGGCCAGGATTAGAACCCGAGTCGTCCGACTCGGAGCCCAGTGCTCTGACCACTGGACTACTGGACAAAGTCGTGGTGTTGGCGTGCCCGCGGTACAGTTGACCACGCATGTTAAAAGTAGCAACTTGTACGGTTTTTCGGCTTGATAGGTTACTACTATTTTGTATGATTATGGGGCTACGCGAGCTCCGCTATTAATAAGCATGTGTATTTAGTGATAATTCTTCTCACCTTCATTAAACAATTTTGTTGCCCCTTTAAATATTCTTGGCAGTACTACTTCCAAAACTGCGACAAAGTTCCCCATTTCCTCAGTGATTCCCACTAGTAAGTATTTTTCAACTAAGTTTCTTTTAGCTTGCTCCAAAGCCCATTTATTTCCTGGTGACCTGAAATTCATTACAATTTATGGTTAAAGTAGTTGCTAAGTAATTAAACCTTTTATTGATAAGAGTGACCTGTGGCTGAATTCTTCTTAAACGAAATGATTGCCAACTTAAGAAGCTTTGATTTATGAACAAATTCTCCTCGTCAGTAACAGAAGAAATGTATCTAAGAAAAGTATGGAGAATGTAGATACTGATGTTAGGGTATAAATGGTCATGGTGCTGGAATGTGAATGCAAAAAAAAAAAAAAGGTCTCTGGTATGAAGCTTGGCCAATATCACTGTGCTGTGCTGGAAACCTGAAAAATCATGGGGGTATCCTGAGGACTTCTATCTGGGGGGGGGGGGAAGTTAGTCAGACATAAAACACTCCTGATATTGCATTTTAGTAAGTGGGTTGAGGTTACTCCAAAGCTTCACAGGTCAACTTTGGCCACAAATTTGTTGTTTTTAAATATATTTAAGTCAATCCCTTCAACATACATTTTCCAAAAATTATGTGAAAAATCTCCATATGCACATGAGTGCACATTAAGAGTTGTAGAATGATGTTTGATCATTTTTCTGCTTTAAGATGAGTAAAAATCAAAATAACTTGTAATTTTATTAAAGTCTGCATTTAATAAACTTTTAGGAGACATAGAGATATTTTGTTTGTGGTGGTTTCCTTGAAAACAGCATGTACAAATTTTTTTCCTGAAGGAGCTCCTGAAGGTTTAAAGGTGGAGGGCAGGGGGGAGGGGGGACAAAGGGGGTACATGCAGTGGTGCAAGTGATACTATCAGTCACTGCATTCTATTCTGTATTCTATTCTAGTGGTGTGAGCCACTCTCACACCATAACTACTTCAACTCACATCCTCAGCATTTTCATTCAGGAATTTGGTGACAAGAAAATAGTGTAAAGAAACAAGAGAATATTCACCACATCTAAAGAACAAATGCTTCAGGCTGTCAAATTTTGGCACAGAATTCTGCATGGCTAATTACCACTTTTCTTATCTCCAGTGCCAGGTCAAAATCCTGCAGGCTTCACTCACTTACAGTTTACATGTGTCATTGATTAGAACAGTATAAACTGCCAAATTTTATGTTTTAAAATAACTTATGTTGACTAATAAAACATGGCTATTGATAACAAAAAAAACAAAAAAAAAAACAAAAAAAAAAAGAGGGACAAACAGGAGTGGAACTCACCAGCACTGCGGTGCATGACCACAAAAGTATGGAATTTGCAGCCACAGCCTCTCAGGCCTGCAATCTGGATTTCCATTCTTAACACATTCATCAAATGTCTAGTCAGAAAATGGAACATATCAGCTAGTTTACTTCAAAGTGCTATGTTACTCACACATTTCACCATTTTCCCACAAAAAATGACCTTTAGAATTAGGTGAGCAGGAAAGAAATCAACATTTTCCTAAGACAGGAAGACACGAATTATCAATATTGTGACAACCTTTCCACCTTTTTCTCAGAGATGTGATTAACACGTAACTTCTCTCAACAATTTTTGATATTCATTCATTGTCCAATGTGTAGATATTGTTGTCAAACTTATCAGGTAAAAGTTGTTATTTTGACCTACATGTAACAACAAATTCTCATAATAACTATGTGTAATATACAAGGAAATGTGTAACAGCTAAAAGTGAGAATTGACAATCAGATCTTGGGAGTTAAAGGGTTAAATGGATCCCTAAAATTAATCATTTTTGCCATAAGTATGTTTCAATATAGAACAATTCCATGTCACATACAGCCATTTGAAATTGTTTCCAACTTCAATACTCATATATACAATAACTCAAATTGATAACACAATTCAAGTTACTGTCATCCATAATCAAAATCCATGGAGGTTGGTTCAAAAATTCACAAAATGTACAAAAATTTCAAACAACTCTCCTCCACATTTTTTTAAGCCATCTAAGTTAAACACAACTTCCATACCTCTTTATCTCCTTGTCTTGTTCTTCGAAGGTATGGCCTAAAATCATCTCCAAACCTCAAGAAATAGTAGTAGGAAACTAGTCTGTCCAAAGGCTTCCTTATCATGTTTATAAATAGGGGACTTTGGTAAACACCGAGTCTTTGAAAGTCCATGTAGGCAAGATGACCGTGATAGACAGCTGGCATCACCTGTTTCCATGTTGTAATGTTGCGAGCAAAACGTATCTGATCAGAAAGTGACATCACGTGAGAGTTTCGACTGACATTGAGGTGCAGAGCATGGAATCTGTTTGGACGGCATAAAGCATAAAGCACACCCATGAAAGATGTGCTGCCTGTCTTTGGGACTCTGTTGTAGAAAATTATGATGTGATCATCTTCAGTTTGTAATCTGGCTTTCCCTCTAGTGGACGAGTCAGACTGTTGAAAGAGATAGAATGAATGAAACATCTTAGAAAATTAAGTTTTGTAAACAAAAAAAGTTACAAATCTGAAGAGTTAAATTTTATCAACTCTGGTTAACATCACCAAAAGAGCACAAGGGTATAATATTAACAAGAATTAATACAATAACATCTACCTCATTAAAACCACTTTGCATTCTAAATTGAGGTTAGAAGTATTACTTCTACTTAATTCCTTGACTAGAAATGTAAATTAAGCTATCTACATTCATGTAAGGACTGACACATCATTGCATGAGCAGTTGTGCACCTGACCCCTCCAGGCAATGCACCCCAAATGGGGTCACAGCTGAGCACAGTGGGAAGTTACCATCCAATTATCAGAAGAGCCTCAAGATCAATAAGTCTGGTTTCTGCTTGCGCTAAGTCAATTTGTGTGAGACTTTTGATAATAAGGCAATTTTTCCATATGTATGTATTGATAGTGTCATCCTTCAGACAAGAATGCAACTAACTGGTCTCTAGTCTACAAATGTGGTTACTGTAAACTGCCTCCTCCCTCCTCACACACACTTAAAAGCCCTACCTGGTAATGGGCCACATTATTGCCTTTCCTAAACAAAAATTTTCCTGTTATAAGCCCACTTGGATGAGTGGATTATTGAAGTGGGTGGGCAAAACAATTTGCATAGAAATTTGCAAAGGATACCAAAAAAATTCCCAGAAAACCTAATAAAATGCTTCCAATTTCAATACATTATTGAGCAAAAAGGTCATGATAAGTGAGAAAAATTAACCAGGAGAGAATCTGTGATCAAACATCAAATTCTTAGATCTAAAATTGTAAGATATGTAGTGCAAACAGTATGGAGGATTTATATTTCAATCTATGGAATGATAGGGTTAAAGTTCCAATACACATGCATGTCATCCAGATATGGTACAATCAAACCAGCATAAGCTCTGGCCACTGAGTGAGTATGTCTCACTACAGTAATAAACTTGCAGCAGAGCAGTCTAATTCTTAAAAGACTCTTCCAAATTCAATAGTGTGTTCATTTGGTGTTCGAGTTTGGAGAATTCTTCCCCTAGTTCACAAAATTCTCTCATTATATTCTGATGGATTGAACTGTTTTTATTGACCCTTTAGCTCCCATGGGTAATAAGACAAAATTTCTCCTTACCCTATCAGGATTACTAGTTGATCCAATACCAAATTCTCAGAACGAACAACATAAAAGTTATTTAGCAGACAGTAAGGAGAAGTACAAATGAGATCTTGGGAGTGAAAGGGTTATGATGTGGAGAATGCTCTCCTTTCCACTTAACATTATCCTAATGTTACTGCACATCAGTTAGCCATGACATTGGCCTGAGAAAAAACTAATGAAACAATAAATATTGCAGCACCTCATAGTTGTTTTCAAATTGACCCCTGTCTCTCAAAATATTGCTAGACGGCAAATTCCCTGCATACTCTAAAATAAGAACAAAATTAAGCATTAAAAGAAAGGAACATGTGAAGAACAGGAGAATTGACCACCAGGTTAATGACCAACTACTGTATGTTACCAAAGAAATTGATGTCCTCAGAGAAAATTGGATAACAGTGGTATATGGATGGAATGTAACAGGTCATCTCCCTTGTCTTTTATACTTCCTCTTCATTAATCATGATTTGATAATGTTATTTACACAAAAAGTTTCATTCTAACATAAAACAGAGCACATGGAGTGGATAACACTCTAGATGTCTTCGTTTTCCATTGCGCTTTGATATTCTAAACCCTTTTTGTTAGTTTGGAGAGTAGTAAAGCTAGTTGAAATTAGTTAGTAGTAAAGCTGGTTAAAGTGGGAGAAATAAGGCTCTTGAAAGTGGAAAGAGGATTATTTTAAACCTGTCAGAAACCCAATGTTTATCATCCAATCAATATTAAAAATGATAGCTAACATCATCATTTGCTGCTTTCAAGTTCACAATATCTAGAAGCTACGGGTACAACGTATTTTAGGTGTAGTACTTTTAATCTTGTATACAAAACATGAAAACTGTTTAGATGGTTATTGTAAACGGACTGACATTTTAAACTTTATCTTTCAATTAATCCCAAATGCCTAGGCTTACGAGCCAAGGATTAAGAACGGCTGCTTAAACCAATTATTTTTTAATAAATCAAGTCGGAGCCAGCATCGAGAACGAATCTGTGCGTATTTACTCGAAGGACGACGTTTCTTAGCTTGATATGGGAAGTTTGGAGATTTACGTAATGACACAAACACGAATTCTCTATTTCATCTCGATGTGGAGAAAATCAATCACAAAATACAGTTAAAAGGAAAGTATTTAAGATTCTGAAAGAACATTCCAGCAAAGTGGAAACTCGAAATGTCAAACTGAACATTACAAGAGCACATGTGTTTTTAGTCATAAATGATTCCCAAAGTTGTAGGGTATCATGAAATGACTATCACTTAAGATCTTCTTAAAGAGCGATCTATTAAGAAAATAAGAGGAGAAATTAATGGGTCCGATTAAGGTTTCTCCTACCGTTGTGATCATCATGTGTTGTAACATTCGTCATTTGAAGAATTTGCATCTCTAGAATAACAAACGCAACAATAAAAGCCACGATCAGCCATTTGTTGACGATCATTCTCCCAAAGAAAAACCAGGGAATTCTCAGGAAAACCATACACGCTTAACAACTACTGGAAATTTTGGCCACAATAACTTGCCATGAAGCAAAAATTAACATCAACAGCATGCGAAGTTAATGACTAACTGCAAGCTAACGGAACATCAGCTTAAGGTTCGTTGGTTGGGAGGAATCTGGGGCGAGCTGTACTTATATTGATCTCCAGTTCTCTCTCTTGTGTTCAGCCCACTATCGCGCGAAACTTGAAACCAATCTGCGCCAATTCCTTAATTTTCCTCACTTTGGGAAAGGAACTTGCTACAAATCAATCTAAAAACGATTCATGTAGACAAACTGAGTGATAATCTATACCTAAAAGATCAAAGGAAGGCATAAAGGTAAGATTTTAGGACGCATTTGAGAAAAATTGCCAAACAGCATCGAAGGAACGCCTGGCACATATTTTTGAATTGAAACGCAGAGACTTTGAAAGGACTTACAGAGATTAAGCCGAATGAAATTAATGGTACTTCTTCCTCTAAGACACCTTTTTCTTCTGGTTTCACTACCCACTTGAAGGAATTTTTGCTATTTTATTTTTATTTATTCATATTCCCATTTATCTATTATTTATTTATTTATTTAAATTTACCAAATATAGAAGCCTTGACTGTGCACGTGGGAAGCGGCTAGCGCACGAAAGAAGTGTAGGGAGAGACACGAAACGGTTTTTTTTAAGGAGGGGGGGTGTCACTTAATGGTGTCTCCTAACCACTCCTTAAAGTAAGACTGACAAGATGCTAGATATCTTTGCAGGTTCTTGGGGCAGGTGGAAAGTGCTTATCCGGTTACTATGATTAGTCAATACCACGCAAAAAAGTACTTTATTTCACTATGAAGATAACACGGAGTTTATATTTTAAGAGGATTTCAAAAAAGGGCATAGTCACTAGTTAAGATGTAAAGGGATAGAATTTATGATCAATGGTTATTGAAGGTTATTGATGCAATAAAACTTTGCACGTCCGCCTTACAAATCGGAGGGTCTGTGCTTCGAATCCTGTTAGTGTCTTAATCCGTTCTCGTTTGACTTCTGATCTGATCCAGAATGTTTTCATCGAGCGAGTTTCCTTTCATTTGCATTATGACGCAATTTATCATTTGTTTTCGAAATTTGTATTGTGTTTGAATTCAACTAAGAATAAACTAATTTTACACTAAGGTTGCATTGAAGTGGTTTTAGCTGATAACGTAAAAGCTTGAATCAAGACGGCGTCTTCATATCTTTGTGTTGCACCCATGTTGTTCAGTAGTGATGGCAGTTACGTCCGCATATTGTCTTGATATTTCTCGATGATACAGGCTCTACTTAAGAGCTATCAGCGCGGTTTATATCCTCAACTGCTTTCAAACCTTGCATCACCGTCCAAACTAACTGTGAAAGGAATAAAACCTTGATCCTGAATCGTTCATTATGTATGGCAAATTCGGTCCTTAACAGGTTTTAAGACAACACGCACACAGAGAATCATTACTTGTAGATAGAAAAATTCAAGTTTGAACTTTTCAATCCTTGAAAACCAACATGAAAAACAAAAGTAAAAAACCAAAAAGGTGAAATCTATTAACATCGCGTCATCAAAGAATTTAGCAGTGACTCATGCATAACTGTGTAGGTCTGCATTTTTTTTATTAGATTGACATTTGCCAGTTGTGAAACCTTAAGAATGGACCTACTCTGGATATGAATCTCATCACGTTCAATTGAAGAACAAATATCCTATGTGGGACGAAAATGTAAATTCAAATTAAGACCAGATTACGACTCAAAGTCCAATTCGCCTCTGCTGGTCTTGACGGCTCATCTTACAGCACGTACGTGTAGTTTTACCGATGAACTTTAGTACTTTTTCACGAATAACCTTTTTCCTCTCGACAACAGGCATGACAAGGAAATTATTTCACAAAAATTGAACCAAGGCCCTAATGCTCAAAGGGTGAAAAACGCCATCCGACAGGTCAATCGCTATCCAGTGGATAAGATTTATCAAAACGTACTCTATTATTCACCGAATAGAGATTTAACCTATAGAGTCGCGTTATCCATCCTCGGAACAAGCCAGGCCAGTTTGTTTTACTTCTTAATAAATTGTAATCATAGGATGCAATTTAACAGATGACAGGAGCAATGTAACTCACACGAGTCAATACTACTTTTCATCTTTTGTGATAACACAGCGCCGATTGAATCGTTAATAACCATGCTATAGATTGAGCAATAAGTATATTTATTGTTTCTTTGTGCTATACCGCTTTAATATCCTTGCAGTTTCTAAAGACTGTGATCACCTGCTTCCGTATTTCAATTTGTTTTCTAGACAGACTAACGTGAAAAACCTTGTCCTGTAACGAAAAATTGCCCGTTTTATAGCGAAAAAGTTAGGGAGCGGCACTCATTCAGTTATCATGGAGTTTTATCACAGATCTCTCTTTTAGCTCCCTCGTCTTTTCATTACATAGTTCATTATATAAATTTAGGCAATTTGCGGAGAACTTTTAATGCATTTATTCCATACCAAAATTCAATAACTGAACTCCGTCCTTTATAAAACTATGAAATTTATTTATCAATTGTGCCCGCGGTAGGGAGTAAAATTTCCAGGGGTGATTTTAGTATTTACCTTAGAAAGCTAGTCGCAATAATATAGTAAGGAAATTGGATAGCTAGCTTTGCAGTATTATTTTATTAATAATATTAGGCATCATCTGATGAGATTTTCAATTTTCAAGGAAAAGCCGCCTTAAATGTATATTATAATAAATTTACATCTGACAGCCGGTACGGGAAAAATTGTAATGGCTGCTATTTAGCTTACTAAAGAAGAAAACGTTTCTTGACAAGAAAAAAAAGAATTTTTTTCAAAAATGCAATTTTTCTAGAATAATGCAAAGCTGTTTTTGTTGACATTCATTATTTGGGGCTATATTAATTTATAAAATGTTTTCCGATGTTTTAACATTTTAAACTTACAGCTTCTTGACCGATAATGAGCATGCAATGCAGCTTGGCATTCCTTACGTAACAAGAGGGCTTGACTTAAAAAAAAAAAAAAAACAAAAAAAAAAACACAACATGTGGAAAATTTTAATAAATACTTATTGCTTTGAACAGGGGAAGTTATGACCAAAGATGAAAACTTAAATTTCAAGTTTTAAGAATTGTTGCGATTATTTACCAAGAAACTAAACGGAAACACAACGCCCAATGTCAGTTATGACTTCTCTATGACGACGTTTTATTCCCTTGTTTTAGGTCGGTTCCCTCTTGCTTTTTTGAACTTGTGACTGCTGATAACTTTCACAATTAATTGAACATCGATCAGACTTTTTTTACTCTTGAAACAGCGTCGATATCCTCTGCATAAAACGTCTCAGCATAACATCCTGGTAGAACTAAGAAGATTGGCTTCAGAATATCTTTCTAGTTTAGAAATAATCATTAATCTTCTTTGAAATGTAAATTGTTTAGCCCAGTCTGAAAGAGATGTTTCAAATCTGACACAAGGTTTCCATCTAACGATTTTGGCGGACAAAAAATGTGTTTGTGCTGACGGTGACACCTTTGAAGAATGGCGAAAATACATACAGAAACAAAAACAACAACAATTCAAAACGTATAGTAACACCTCTTATTACTGATATGGATCTCATTTCGTAAGGATCTCTAGATATGGGTGCAGCTCCTTTTTTTTTTTTTTTTTGTTTCAGCACAGCTCAGCCTACTTAAAGACAAAGCAATCCTTCGTATGAGGCGCCAAAGGGCATTTTTAAAAAATAGAGAAATCGTATTTGTCATGAAAATCAACGTGATTATCGAGCAAGATCATCCATGACTTAATTGAGTTGGGCTGATATCCTATCAATGCTGATACCACGTTTTTTCTTATTTTGAACGTGACAATTTTTTCATTCATTTTTGCTCTCGAGAATAAACTATTCCTCAGCAGCAAGATGATGCCGAGCGAATTTTATTTTACAATGGTGAACGGTCAATTATAGGTACAAAAGTTCACAGGTCTTAACCTTTTCCAATTAGGGAGGAGAATCCTTGAACCGGGGAGAACTCTTATCCATGGTTTCTTATGACATCTTTCAGTATTCCTCAACGAAGGATTTTCTAAGTCATTTTCTAAAAACTGGTTCTTTTATTCATTGTCTGTATCTTTTATTTGTTCAATTTTTTATATTTTGATTTCTCAACGTGTTCTTTTCGATCTTTTTTTATCTATATTCGTTGTTCTTGCCGACCTCAATAATTAACCGATTCACTTTATTGCAAATGGATCAGAGGACAGTACACATGTAGAAATTGCTCCTTTTTCCCACCTTCCGTGAACAACTCATGATCAGATGAGCGTTGATATCTCTCTGCCGTTATCGTTGTGTTTGTGGCACCGATGGATTATCCTTATCCACTAGTGATGACAACCGGCTTGTGTTCTGTGCCCCAGCAATCTGAAATTGAGTATCCTTTTCGCGCATGTTTCCTACCTTCAGTTTTGCCAGAGGCTGTTATGGATATTTGTAATTAAATAAATATTTTAGTTATCTTTAACATCTTCATTAGTTATTAAGACTACACATGTGAAATATAATTATGCTCGGAGGGCTTACGTGTGAAAAGCCTGCAGTATCTGAGTTTCAAGCAATTACGAAAGTTAGTATTTTCGAACGCCTGGGGTAATGTCTTTGTGTAAATATGGAAGTAAAAATTAAATAATGAAAAGGGAAGGAAATGAATTTAAAATCATTGCAAAGGTATCCTTAACCACCGAAACTCTACATCATGGAATTTCATATCTGCTTTTCGGTTTTCTCCCCTTTTAACGAATAGCAGATTAGTACGAAATTTCGTGGAGGCTTATGCCTTCGAGATTTAATTAATTCTTCTTACGTAGTTGAGAATTTTACTTACTAGCTATTTCGAGAAAAGTCAACAACATTGAACTTAATAACAGCTTGAAAGAGAGCGTGAGCACAACAGTAATGAATTTAAGGAGCGCCTTCTGCTGATCTCTTTGTATTACTAATCACCGTATGCAGAGCGGGAAAAGGAAAGTGAGTTGATCTTCACCTGTTTGTTTCCCACGGTAGAAAACGCAGAGATAAATCCT